CGTCCATGCAGATAGTTTGACAACCAGCGGACAATTGACCGTGGAAGCGATGATGACATGAGGTCGGAGATTAGGATGCGATGGTTGACGGTGTCGAAGGCCTTTGTGAGGTCCAATGCTGTTAAACTTGTTCGGTGAGCTGGCCTCTTCTGATTTAGGCCGTTTGCGATGTCGGTGACCATCGTGGTGAGAGCTGTTGTTGTAGAATGAAGTGGGCGAAAACCATGCTGATGACTCGCTAAGGTTAGTTGAATCGAGATGATCGGCAGAAGGCATTTTTCAAATACTTTAACTGCCGGACAAAGAAAAGATATAAGACGGTATGATTTCGCGTCGTTAACTGGTTTGCCGGGTTTTAGTAGAGGAATGATTTTTGATTTCTTGTAAATTTCAGGAATCCTACAGGTTCGTAGGGATTCGTTAAAAATATTTGTTAAGAAGGAAATTCCCTTTGGGCCGAGGTGTTTTAGGTGAAATATTGTCAGGTTGTCTGATCCTGTTGCATTGGACGGTTAGGAAGTTTTAATAGCTTCTGTAACCTGATTGGGAGTTAGTATAGGATAGTCGTCAAGCGGAAGTTTCTTGACGGCTTTGTTGGTGATTCTATTTAGTTTGTTTGATGAATGTTTAGTAGTTGATGTAAAAATTTTATTGAATGAGTTGGCTATTTGCAGGTTGTTGGTTAGTGACCTGTTGTTGAAATTAATAGCGATGTTGGGGTATTGAATTGGTTTGCCGCTAAGAGCTTTTATGGTGCTCCAGAGGCGTTTGGTGTTGGTTATCCTGTTGAAGGTGCCCAGGAAATCCTTCCAACGTGATTGTTTTAATTTGTTGATTTTGTGTTGAATTATTGTTGATGTAGTTGCTATGTCCTTAGATGTTGGATCTTTAGCTCTGAATCCTCCAGTCTTTTCATTAGGTCGGTGATTTCTTTCGATAGACCTGGAGTATATGAAATTCGTCTACCAGAAAGTATGTTGTGGTCACTTGCGTCCTGTAGAATACGACGAAACGATTTCTCGGCTGCTGATAGGTTGGGAGGGAAAACTTGATTGGAAAATCCGGCTTCGGATTCTTTGGTGAAACCATCCCAGTTAGCTTTCGCGAAATTTATGAATCTGATTTTTGGTGGGTTAGTATGTTGAATTGTTGTTTGTAAGCTGATGTGAATGGGTAGATGATCTGATGAGAGTGAGGTCATCGTGGACCATTCCATGTTGATGATCAACGTATCTGAGGCGACAGAGATATCTGGAGATGAAGGTTGGCCGGATGTTGGGAGACGCGTTGAGGTATCCAAGTTGAGTATGCCGCAGCCAAAATTTTCGATTTCACTAGCTAGGGCTTCTCCTCGTGTGTCCTCCAGATTTGAATACCAAAGTGAGTCGTGTGCATTGACATCTCCCAATAAGACGACATTTGGGATTGATAAAAATTGAGATATGTATGCTGTGAAACCTGTTGGGCAGATGGATTGTGGAGGGATGTAAATGTTAATGATGTTGATATCTGTGCTGCTGGCGTTGATTGTGATGGCCTGACTCTCAATTGTTGGGACATCTGGTAATGACTTGATGCAGTAGGGAATACTGTTGTGGATGAGTAATATGAGACCATCTCCTCGACCAATTCTTCAGTCTTTGCGGTAAATAGCGTATTCTCTGAAGACCGGATTTTTGGAGCCTTTTGATAGCTTGGACTCTTGGAGGGCTGCGATGTGGATGTTGTGATTTATGAGGTGTTGCTGAATTTCATCTTGTTTGTTTTTTATGTCGTTAGAGTTTATACAGTTTAGTTTAAGGAAATTTAACTTTCCAGCATTTACTGCATGTGATGTTGACGGTTTGTTGTGGGTTGAGTTGTTGAATGATGATGTTGAAGTTGGCCGCCGTGAGGCGCCAGCAGACGCCAAAGAGTCGCTTGAGTTTGAGGACGGATGAGAACAGTTATTACAATAGTAATGACCGTTGATGTTTGTTAAGCAATTGCTGAGGTGATGGCAGTTGTAGCAGGTTCTGCAACGGGCAAAATATTGGGTTTTGTTTATCCTTTGATGGCATCCAGGGCACATCCAGATCTTTGGGGGACCTGGATTTGCTTCAATTCCGGCTCTCAAGGGAAGGCAACGGAGCAGGACGGCCGGAATGACCCGCTCCGTCGATGAAAACCCCTGTGAAACATCCAGGTGGGAAGGGTTTGTTGCAACTGTTTGTAGGATCGACTGATTTGACGGTCCAATCGGCTCAACCGCGGGAAGGCAGTTGCTCCAGAGCCTCGAGGGGTATTTCGGTTTCATCATAGGTAGCCAAACGGCAACCCCCGATCTCGGAAAAAATGTCGTCTAAACGTGTAAACTTATAATTTATATATATATATAAATAATCGGTCTATTTGTATGCATCATTCAAAATTTTAAATAATTATGGTATATTTATTTTTGATAATGACATGTAAACCTTCGACATCAATGAATCACTCATAATCTCACGCATCAAATATGCAGCTCCCTCCTGGTTCGGTTTTGCCACACTCTCTTATCAAAAAACTAATCGGCTTCAACTATCTACCTGCATCATATCCTATCGTCACTCAGATATTCAACACACCCGATTCAAAACTGTTCAAGAATGTAGAAAATAACAACAACCACGTCATCCATCTCTACTATTACCAATTAAAACTACAACACACAACCTTCGACAGCGCAAACATAACTATCAAGTTGCCACCCAATCCACATATCAGGAAAAGACTTTTTTCACAAGACACCTCAAACATATTAACACTCAATAAAACTTTATCATTCACGCAACAAGTTTTTTTTTTTATTTATCGATCACCTCATTAACTTACTAAGTCATCATCTAGTCAATTAGTTTGCGTTTTTATGCCATTACTTCATTTTAATGTCAATTAATTTAATTTAATTTATTTTATTATTATTATTTATTTTATTTTATTTTTCATGTTAAAACATTTTTCTTCATCCGTTTTTTTATTTATTTACTTATTTGTTAAATTTGGTACTATTGCCTTGCATGCTGTAACAGCTTCTACGTCTGTCAGATCCTGTTTTTTAAAGAATAATAAAAAAAAATTTCCTAAGTCTATTTCTATGGTTTCGAAAAATGTGGAACCCATATTGGATATATTGAATAAATATGTAGAAATTTTGAATGCATTAAGAACAAACGTACAACTGATTAACAAGCCAGTCGAATACGACTCGCCGAGTTGCACAATAAACAGGTCTAATTAATATTAATGAACGAAACAACCTAGCTGCTAAAACAGTGCTGGCAGTATTAATGATAAAGCGACTCAGAAAAAATCAAATGCCGTTTTTGACAGTGGCGATTTTATTTTTGTTAAAATAAAAACCATTTAAGAAATGTTACATCAACTGCATTGAAAATGTATTCTATTGTTGCGATGTCTAAGATTTGTTGACATTCGTGTTCGGACGTTGCTTTTCGGCAATTCCAGGCTTCGGAAATTTTTTCGGATTGCTTTTCGCCAAAAATATGTTAATAAAATTATATTGTCAACGTTGCAAAAGTTTAATCATCGACCGGATAGCTCAAGCCAACGAAACGACTCCAGCTTATTAGAGCTCACAACGAACAACGTGACCGTCCTAACTCCACTGTTTCCTTTCGTAAAGAGTCCTTCGTGTGTGTTGCATGTGGGATACTATCCCAATCTACACATTTCTACCTTCATACATTCATTGAAAACTACTTAATGAACGTTACACGAAACATCCGAGGCATTTTTAGTGACAGCTAAAATCTAAGACTTTTGCCAACAGCAACCAAGCGCTACTTAGAGGCGCTATATAAATGACACATTACTATTATTATCATTATTCTAAAGTAATAGTTGACAAACATATTCTACAGAAACAGAAGCTTGTCAGTAGAAAGCATCTTGAGTTTCTTTTATGAAACCAATATCAGCCAAGCTTGATCAACTCTCTGTCTATGATCGTCCAATGTTGCAGATCTGTTAGAGACCGGGGCAAGCAATTGGAATGAAAATTTTGTTTTTTATTTGTTTTTTGGTGCGATGATTTAATGGCCAGCCTTTCGAGCTGTTGCTCTAAAATCACGCACCCAGTAAAATAAGTCAGTCATTCCTTGTTCCTTGCTTCCGTGTTGTGCCGACTTCACAGAGTGAAAAAGCTGGAGTATCCTCTCCAGTTTGATTTTTGAGCCCTAGAGAGGCTTAGTGAGATTGGCTGTTGCCCATGCAGCCAATCCCTTTTCGCACAAGAGAAATGGACAAGGAAACGGCAAATGCTGACACAGCCTGGCTTCTGTTGAGCTACAGAATTGCCCGAAATAATATATGTCATCAGCGATCCACAGGATTTCGACTTTTTTTTTCTGTCAGTGTTTATTTCCTTGGCTTTTCCCAAGCAAGGATAAAGCTTCAAGATAGTGGAGGTTCAGAATAAGAACTTTTTTCCTCTTAGATGGGTTGCTAATCAAGGCTAGCCAAAAACAATTGGTTATAACGCGCCAGTTAATCACCTTTGCCCCTTTTTCTATTAGTTGAAACAGTTTCGCCTCGTGTAGGTCAAGAGATGGACATTGACTGACACACGCAATGGAAGCATTTTATAGGTGTCGAGAGCTCATTCTCTTTACCACCCCGGCTATAACAGTTCTTGAAGGTAAAATATAATAATACAATATAATAACAATTTGATTGTAATGAAACACATTTAGTATAATTGACAAGCTTCAAAGTTAGGTTCAATCAAAATTAATGTTGTTTTTTATAGGTTCACGCGATTTAAAATATTGAAACGTAAATCTAGCATAATTTTATTGTAATTATCATTTTTGTTTGTTTATATAAATTCGCATTCAGAGTAGTTGATATTATGATAATAATAAGCATAGTCGCAATTTTGCAATCGCTGATCGTAAAACCGGATAGGTATGTTTTAGAAATCAATGCGTAAGATTTGTGAATCAAAGTAAAACACCAACCTGTCTAGCTACGTGTTCTGCAGTTTTAATATTATCACCAGTCAAGAGAACAACATCTAAACCCATTTTCTTCAGGGTGTAAACAGCCAAGTGGGCTTCTACTTTTATTTGATCTGCTATCATAATGACCGCAACTAATTTGCCTGATAGGTAGATGACGATGGGTTAAATATCTTGATCGTGATTGTATCACAAGATAAGTTAGGAGTCTCGTAGCCGAGTAATTAGCGTGTCTAGCTACTACTTCCAGAACCCGGGTTCGAATCCTAGAGTTTCTGCAGGTTTATTCGGGTAGCCGACCCCCGGCCAACCCAGCCGTCCATCTTTTCGAGGTCGGTAAATGGGGAGACGACGTAAGTTGTCGCATGTTGGCCGCCAGATGGCTCAGTGGTTCAATAGCGCGCTGAGTCAAGCATCTTAATGACTATCATATACTCGTATATGATGCGGTGAACATAAATACACGTGTACGTCGTGTATTTATGCAACGTACACGACATATAAATACGAAGCATAAATTGAATCATGAATAAAAGTATTCACGATTCATTTTATAATGAATCATAATGTAATATTCATATGCTTATATTAATATGCATATATGGCTATGCGAAGATGGCTGCTTCAAATCAATGAATAAAGATATGAAAAACAACATAAAAAAAAGATTACAGATAATATATATGTAACATTGTAAATGTTTTTGCGCATGTCAGAGCTGAAATAATTAGGACTAAAAAAAGTTATTCTAAAAAGCACCAGTAAAATACAAAAACTAAAACGTTCACTACAAGAAGCTAATAGTGATAACTTTATTAAATTATTACTCACTCACCATCGATAGCACAAAACACATGCGAGTGCCCATTATTTTCTTGTTTTTCCATCATTTCATTTATTTCAGTGGCGATGAAAATATTTTTCTGCTTCATCCATTCTTGGTTCCCAACAATTATATGATATGACAACTTAAAATCTGTCAATTAGTTTTTTCTATATTACATATTTAAAATGAAAAAGTGTGATAAAAGAAAAAAATATTTGCAAAAATTGATGCTTTAATGTGTAAAAAGTTTGAAATAATTTCATTAAGATGAATTTGTTCGTAAATTTTTGGCAAAGCTAAAGTAACAATGGCTACAAAATAATAAGTTTTAAAGACGATTATCTCATAGTTAAAATCAAGAATTATTAATTTTTTCATTGTTTTACTTTTTATAATTGTAAACATCTGTATCCACCATTATTTACGACAACTGAGGAATATGTAAATAAATGGAGGTTTAGAGGAAGAGAGTTGGTTGTTGGATTATGGAATCGAGCTGTGAGTTATTGAAGATCGCGTGACACCTGTCGTGTTTCTGTGACTAGCTAATAATTTGCAGTGATTCTATTACTGTTGGAATTCAAATGAACTAACAAGTCTGTTTTTGAAACAGTTGTATTTATCTATCAGAAATCAGTGAACCTAACTAAGGAAGATTGAATAATTTGAACCAATAACGGCTCCTTGTTTAAACAATGACAATTTTACTGTCAAAGTTCGGATCAGAAGGTGATGTAATGAAAATTTAAATGCTTGTCTGGTGATTTAATAAAAGCAAATTATGATAAACAATGGTTTAAAAGAACCATTCGTTAATAGATCCACCCGTTTTTATTCTAAGAATGAAATTCATATTGGCTTAACATATCAACATTGCAAAGCAAATTCAAAAAAATGAACTGATAAAAAATAAAACCTAATTACAATCTCTCAAAAAGTAGCAATTTAACAAACTTATTGAAGATACAAGTTTAATAAAATCTATAACCTTCAGTAGACGAAATGTAAACACCATGTTTATAAGCTTCTTTAATAACTGCATCTAGAGAAGTGACATCACATTCGATGCCAAGTCCAGCAAAGTTGTTGAAGTTCGTAACATGACCCAACTGTTCTATACATAAAATCTAGAAACATTCCAGAATGTTACAATTTAATAAAAAATATATAAACAATTTCTATAAATAAAATAATACACTTGTTTAAAATAATATTATAAAATTTTATGGTAAAATTGAAAATATTTCAAATTTTTCTGCTCTCTGGATCAATTTTTAAATGGCTAATTCAACAAAATGAGCTAGAACAAAACAAGTTTTACTATCCAGTCAAAAATGCATAACTTTGAAAATCGAGAGAAAAAACTGATCGGCAAGAGGGATGGAGTAAATAAAAGACTGAAGTTAATTTCTTTAAAACATAAAAAAAGTAGTCACCAGATTACAGAAATAGTTGAAAAAGAATAACATGTTCTTAACACAATAATTGATGTAAGAATTTCTTACTTGTCCTGATTCAAATCTTATTTTTCCTGTACATCATTATATATGTCTCTTAACAATACTGTGTCTAACTACTCTATTTTACAATGTGGTGTACCTCAGGGGCATATACTTGGACTTCTTTTGTTCATAACTTCTGAACTCTCTGGCATTATATCGTCATTCATTCCCTTTCTTATGTTTCTTCTTGTTTCTCTATACTAGTTTTAAATCTTCGTCATTAAAGTGCATTATTTCTTCCATATCTTTGTGTCTTACAGCTGCTGAATCTTGGTCATCTTCCATGTTTCTTAAACTCATGTTTAAACACATCCATGTTTGAACTTAGTTATTTTGGACATGGTTAGCCTGTTAGAATAATAGATAGAATAGATACATTAGTAAACATACTAATGTTTATCAAGCTTAACCAACACACTAACCCTAAATAAATCTATAATAAAAATTAATAGCCATTGGGGTGCACTCGCTATGAGGCGTTTCCAGGTGGTGGGTAGGGAAAAGTCCTGGACAGGAGACCTTCTAGGATTGCATCGAGTAATACGGAATAAGATGCCGCAAACCAACTATACCGGAAGAAAGAAAAAATTTGAATAAAAATATTGTTCAAGTGTGAAGGTGTGAGGTTGTGTATGAATAGTATGAGATTAAATAATTTTATTTATTTAATGGTTTTTGTCATACTGTATATGTCTTTTTCTCTACTTTACGTTTTGTTAATTTGATTAGTTACTTTTATATTTATTTATTGGTAATTTTGTTGGTGGATGGATATAATATACTCTTTCTTATTATTTATTTATTGTTTTGTTGTTTTTGTTGTTTTTGTTGTTGTCATTTTGTTTTTTGGTAGATAGACATTATATATTATTTCTTTTATTTATTTATAGTTTTGCTTTCGTTGTTGTCATTCAAGCTTTTGTAGCATTTATGTTATTTTTTTGTAGCTTTTATGTATGCTTTTAAAATTTTTTTATAATAATAATAAGAAGAAGAAAAAGAAAAAATAAGAAGAAGAAGAAAGGCCATCTAGAACAAATTACATTCGCCTCACAACCTCATCTCAAACCACAGATTTACATTGATACGTCGACGATACATCTGGGGCTTATAACAATCCCGATACAACAACAACCAATCACAATTCAAATTCATGATAGAACATTCTACAAACAACAAACTCATTCGTAAACTGGACAACAAACGCCCTACTACACCAAACTGTTTAATAATCTTTGACAACAAACAAATCACATCAAACAATCAAATCGCTAACAACTTCAACAAAATCTTCTCCTCCGTCTAACCACACCAAAACCTGGTAAAGACGCCACTCTATTTTCTTCATATTGTCCTATCTCTCTACTCTGCCTTATAGTAAAAATCCTCGAATCTCTCCTACTTCCCACAATCCCCGCCCGCCTTCCACCAGCTGACCATCAACATGGCGTCCGCCCGAACCACTCCGCCACTACAGACTTACTTCAGCTTTCCACCATCATTGCCCTATTAAATGCCACATTAGAGATATACCACACCTTCACATAACTTTAAGTAATCAGCTACGCTTACGACTCTACTCATGGTCCCCTTATTGAACCAATTACAACTACACTTAACAACTACATCACAACCCTGACAACCTTCTTCTTTAATCGTTCACTTTCTCTTTCTCTCTCTGTCTCAGCCACGAAATAGTCACACTAACTATTCAAAATACTTTTTTTAGCATGATCAACAATGTCATTAGCAATAGGGTGTTTGCAAGTTGTTATAACATGTCAAAGAGAGAGTTCATAAGCAATGCTAGACAAATTTTTTGCTAAAATTAAAAACTTACCTCATAACCACCACTGATATGCATGATATCAGATGTTTCAAAAACGAAACTTGTTTCTAATAGATTTGCTTATTTCAAATATGTAATCCATTTTTTTTATCACGTACAGTTTTTTCATAATTCCAAAAAATGGTTTAAAACATCATATAAAACTACATTACATAATCCAGATAATGACTGATATTTCAATGATATAATCAAATATATATGTGCATGTATCTGTGTATATATTCATAACTCACATGGACAATGTTGTATAAACACAGACACACACATGAAATTGCTTATATCATCAAAATCTAGGTTTGCCCATTTAATTAAAATAAATTCATTATATAATATTGAAATTTCTATTCATTTAAATTCATTTGATTTAACATGGCTACTAGTTCGAGTTCCAGAAGTTTGAACTCTCCAAATTCATTTTGTTATATTTGTAGAAGATACACGCCTCAGAAGCAAAGGCAGTCCATCAATGGATTTGTGAAAAAAAAAATTATCATGTATATTTTAAAATAAAATTAGGTGATCAAGATAAACCATGGGCACCTCATGTTGTATGCAGGACATGTGTAGGACTAAGAAGTTGGAGTAGAGGTTTGAAAACTTCTTAAAATTTTGGAATTCCAATGATTTGGCGTGAACCCAAAAATCACACAGATGATTGTTACTTCTGCATGGTAAACACCAAAGGTTTTAACAACAAAAATGAAAAAGATTTCATATCCTCCTTCAGCATTGAGACCAGTAACTCATGGAGATGACATTCCTGTTCCGATACCAATTGATATAGCAGAAGTTTTGCCAAATGATGAATTAAGTTATGACGATGTTGTTGAAACTGATAGACAATTTTTCAATCAGAAATTCAAATTCTAGAAAAGCATTTTCTCAGGCTGAATTAAACGACCTTGTTCGAGTTGAATTTATCAAAAATTTCATAAGAGATACTGGGATCACGTTTAAAGGCTAAGAATTTACTAAAAACCAAAACAACTTTTTCATGGTATAGAAATCGTGAAGCAGAATTTATAAAATTTTTTCAAAAGTTGATTTCCTTATATATTGTTTAAATATACCTTGATTGATTACTGAGTTAGGAGTTATGTTAAATGTCAATGAATGGAGAATTTTTATTGACTCTTCCAAACGAAGTCTCAAAAGCAGTTCATTTGCATAATGCATAATGGAAATATTTATGCATCTTTGCCAATTGCATATTCTATTCAATTGAAAAAAACATGATAACATGGCGATGCTTTTTCAAAAAATCAAGTAAGATGAGCATAAGTTGTTGAATTCTACTAGCCCAGTAATGAGGCTATACTGAACTTCCACGTTTTTTTTTATGTGAGTGGGATAGCAGGGCAGAAAAAGATCATTGGAAAAAGAAATATTGGCTATCACGAACAAATTTTCAACTAGGTATGAAAAATATTAAATTTCTTAAGTTGGTTGAACCAAATAGAATACTCCTGCCTCATCTTCATATTAAACTTGGATCGATGAAGCAGTTTGTGAAAGCGTTGGACAAGGAAAGTATATATTTGCATATATTTGTACCAAATTTCCAAAAATTTCCAAAAATCATTATTGAGAATCTGAAGGCTGGGATTTTCGATGGTCCAAATATCAGAATGCTCACGAGAGATAACGAATTTATTAAAATAATGAATAAATTGGAATTGAATGCAAGGACTAGTTATAGAGCTGTGATGAACAAATTTCTCGGAAACAAGAGAGCAACAAACTAAGAAATAATTGTTCATGAAATGGTCTCTGCATTCCAAAAATTAGGATGTCGAATGAGCCTTAAAATTGACATTTTATTTTCACATTTGGATTATTATCCGAAAAGTCTTAGCGATTATAGTGAAGAAACGGGTGAAAGGTTTCACCAAGACATTAAAACAATAGAAATCAGATATCAAGGACGATGGAATGTTAACATGATGGCGGACTATTGTTAGATGCTGAAAAGAAAGAATTTGACGGCTAAAGAATGTGGGAGAAAATCAAGAAGAAGTTTTTGTCCTTAATTTGAAATTTTATGCTTTATGTACTTTACATTTTATTAATTTTTTTTTCGAATTATGTTAGAACAATTAAAATATTTGAGACATCTAAATTTTTTTTTAAATCCACACCAGTGATCAGCAGATGAACACACAAGTAAAAATTATAATAAGTGAATATACAAGACTTTTATTTAATATCTAAAATTCATAATACTTTTTTAGCGTGATCAACAATGGCATTAGCAATAGGATGTTCGCTAGATGATTCAGCTGTTCCAATTAATGATATCAGAAACGGTAGGCAACAATCTCCAAAAAGATGAACAGAATATACTTGCGGAGTACCACGAGTAATTGTACCAGTTTTATCAAATATCACTGTATTAACCTGCATTTAATTTAAATAAAACATTACCAATTTTTTAAACTTTATCTTTTATTTTATTTATATATATATATATATATATATATATATATATATATATATATATATATATATATATATATATATATTGTTTTATATGTTTGTTATATATGTATTGTTTTTTATATGTTTGTTATATATGTATTGTTTTTTTTTGTCCTGGTTATGACATTAAACTGACACTCACTGCCTTGTGAGTGATGTTGGATCATCAAAGGCTAGGCCCACCGCTTATAACTGTGGTTGCGTAAGGAAGGGCGTCCTGCGTAAAAATTAGCCAAATAAATTACTTATGATGAAATGGCGTCGAGGGGTATTTCGGTTTCATCATAGGTAGCCAAACGGCAACCCCCGATCTCGGGGAAAATGTCGTCTAAACGTGTGTTGTTTGTTGTTGTATATATGTATTGTTTTATATTTTTTTATACATTTGGTTTCCTCGCGGGGAAATCGACAATTGATGCATTTCAAATCCTACGGCAACTGCAAGAGAAATACCTCGCAAAGTATCAACAACTATCCCACATTCTTGTAGACCTTGAAAAAGCATTTGATCGAGTTCCCCGTGAAGCAATCAGGTGGAGTCTAAGTCGACAACTCATTCCAGAATATCTTGTTCGACTTGTGATGGAAATGTATACGAATACTAAGACTCTCGTTAGCACAACGGTTAGAAACACAGATGCATTTGACATCGGCGTTGGAGTTCACCAAGACTCGATTCTCAGTCCACTGTTATTTATAACTGTGATGGAAAAAATCTCAAAACCGATAAGCACTGGGACATTTGGAATCTAATATATGCAGATGATATCGTTGTAACAGCCACGTCTGAGCTGAATGCAGCACAGAGGTTTGAAGATTGGAACACCAAACTCGTCGATCATAGATTCAAAGCAATGGACAGACACTGGTGAACCCATCCAATTCACAGCTACTGGACAATGGCACTATTCAGTTTGTAAAGCTGGTGTAGGTAACAATTCAATCAAATGTCAGCAGCGTAACCAGTGGCGTCCCAAACGTTGTTCAAAAATGATTGGTACTTTATCTAAAGTGTCCAATTTTGTTTGTTCTGTTTGCATCAATCCACAACAACAAATTCAAAATAGGAATGTTTTTGAAGCCATTAAGGCAGAGAAAGTCACATCGTTTGAATATTTAGGGGATGTTCTGGATTGTACTGGAACAGCTGAAGCTGCCGTTTGAGCACGCATACGTGCAGCCTGGAATAAATAGCATCTCCTTGCATCTATATTGATGCGGCGTGACATCCCACTACCACTACAATCAAGACTTTATAAATCTGTGATACGTCAGGTGTTGTTATATGGTGCAGAAACATGGCCAATGACAACCAAACTGGAACAACTTCAACGAACCGATATGAAAATGCTCCGATGGATGCAACGAATTAGTCTGAAGGACCACATCAAATCTACTGAAATCCTGCGTCGTGCTGGTTTAGATGATATAAAGGACGAATGCCGACAACACCGTCTGCGGTGGTTTGGTCATGTCAAACAAAGTGGAAACAGTGCCATAACTTATCTTGCAGATGTTGAAGTATCTGGCACACGTCCCAAAGGCATTCCAAAAAAGTCCTGTTCGCAAACAATCGAGCAAGACAAGAAAGCTCTAAATTTAAATGTAATAGATATAACTGATCGTCTAATTTAGCGCAAAATATTGATGGCAAAGAAAACAACGTCCTACGTCGGGAGAACTGGGTCTCTGGACGCTAAACGAAGATAGATATTCATATTGTTTTATATATGCTAGAAGGAGATCATATTTTATACAGTATTGTATGCATTCTATCGAATTGTTGGCATTAACCAATTTAAAGTTAGTCTTTTCAATTTTCCATACTATAATTGAATTTTCTGGAAACTGTTCGATTTATTTAAAATAAAATTATTATCCAAGTTCATCATGAAAATTTAATGAAACTGTTGTTTTTCAAATTCATCATGCAGGTAAGGCCTTATTTAGATTTTACACAAATTACCTTCAGAGCAGGTTTGGTTTATATAGTTTCTTTAAACAAAGCAAGGCTAGTTCTTAGCATAGTGAGTTACTTAGTTGGTGTCGAACTCTTCATCTTTGTTTTTGTCATTTCTTTGTTCTTTATTGTTATTGAATCTAGTATTATTAAGTTAGTATTCGTAATGACGTAATCATTCTTTGTGTTTTGATAAAATATTTTTAGGTTGTTGTCAAGAATTTGGCGGGTTATTGAGGTTGGGTCTATACACAGCCTTTGTAGGCATGTTTGGTGTCATTGCTCTTTGAGTAGTTTTGAATCTCCACGGCTTTTTTGCTAAACGATGTGTCTTGCCAAACCCATTCATGGAAAGGCTATGAAAGTAAACCGAAACAAAAAATCGCTAGCACCCGCAATTAACTATGAAGATGGTTCTGCTCATCACTCGGCATCAGTTCCGACTAAACTGCTGCGTCTATACTGGTGTTTGCGTATAATTGCTGATATCAGATGGAAAGACAAAGTTCCAAACACAATGGTTCTTGCAAAGTGTGGTACAATGGGTATAAAATCGCTTTTGCTTCAAACTCATTTTCGTTGGATAGGGCATGTTATACGTATGCCAGACACAGGAATTAACAAGCAGGTTTTTTTTTGTCAACTGGCGTCGGGAAATCGACTAGTAAGTGACTTTGTACGTAGATACCTAGTAAGTGACTCTGTACGTAGATACAAAAACAGCCTTAAAAAAATATGAACAAATTTGATTTAGACCCCAAGGCTCTTTTTGTTGATGTTCTGCGTTGCTCGGAATGGAGAAAGTCTACCCAGTTGGCAGTTTTCGCTTTTGAATTGGCACGTACAGTTGCTCTCGCAGGAAAAAGGATTCGACAAAAACAGACGGCCTTAAGAGGTGATAGTACAGGTGTATGAATCTGTGAAACATGTGCACGGAAATGTTCGTCAAGGATAGGACTTTTTGTTCATTCTAGGACTCACCGCTGACAACGCATTTAAAATTACTATTGAAAACGTTTAACATATGCTATCTGAATGGTAAAAACAGACGTATAACGGGAGTGAGATGAAGATATATAAATATTTGACTAAAAATCTAAAATGTCCCAGAAGAAAATATTATATCAATTTTTTATGTAAATATAAGAATTTTTGCCAATATTTAAAAATTCACAAGCAAGATTAATGTCGGTTATTTATATAATAAAATATAGTTGAAAGCTCATAAAAATAAAAAATTTTTTTGATAACTGAAAAAGAAATTTGCGCCAATAAGAATGAATACAAGTGATATAGCTGGTGAGTAATTTGCATTTTACAGAGACAATATTTTAGTAATAGAAATGTACTAATTTATTGAAACCTACAAAGATACAAGAAGCGCTATGCAAATATCTGTTAATCAGTAACAACAATAATAAAAAGACAGTTTAAGCTTGCTTCTTTTTTACAAAATTAAAGTTTTAACTAATTTTAAACAAGAAGCATGAAAAATAAAATTAATCCACTCTATGTTGTAATGTAATTAACTTTAGAATGAAAAAAAAGAATAATGATGAGACAATGAGCAAAAATATTTTAAAAAATCAAACAAATTTATTGTAAGCCTCGCGCTGAATATTGACAATTGTTATAATAATGAATAAATCAACAAAAACTTTTGGAATTCAAACTTTGTGTGCTCTTTCAAGAGGAAGACCACCTTTGATAAGAATACCATTGATGGCCCCAACCCCTGTACCCACCATGACAGCTGTTGGTGTGGCTAGACCTAAAGCACACGGACATGCTATGCATAAAACCGTAATTGCAAATTTAAAAGCTCTTTGAATTATCAATTCACGATTTTGATGACTAATTCCGTCTGAATAGGATGTACCGTTAACTAATATCTGTGAAGTCGTATTAATAATAATTAAATAATAAAATAATTACTTCATAACGCTGTAATATTACGTAGAATGAATGAATTTGTTTACCTTGATTTGCAATTAGAGTTTCAAAAAAAAAGCGTAGCAAAACATTGCATAAATAATAGGGCATTTTTTAACATTCGGCGCAAATTTAATAGGATGTACCGAAGCCGAATTTAATTTTTTCATCCTTTTCCCGTAAGCTTCAGGAAAAATTAAACGCCAGTTTTAAAAAATTTAAACAAATTTTGTGCCATCATTGTTTATCACAGTTTGAATTTTATTGGCTAAAAAAATTACAACGTGTTTACATATATTTTTTTTGAAATTTACTTAAAAAAAAAAAACAGAAAAATAAATTAAAAATAACAAAAAGTAGCGTGAGATTTGCTAAAATTTTACAATATACAAAATTTTGGATTGGGACGAGTTTAGGCAAAAGTTGAAAAATAGAACGTAATTGATGCACAAAATTTGGCTTCGGTTACGGCCGAATTTTCAAAAACCATATTCGTTACAGCCCTAATGAACAATCTTTCTAATTATTGCTAATAAAACGTGAACGTAACGTAATGGCTTTGTGGTTGGAAGCGCAAGGTCCAGTTCCAAGTGCATGCAGTGATCGGGTTCAACTAAAAATAACTAAAGAATCTCGGCCGATCCCATGCTTTGTGTATGGCACATATTCATATGACCTTCAACTTTTTTTAACAAGTAAATATAGCTCAATTTACAGGAGTAAGTTAAGAATACAATAAAATTCAAAAATTTGATCTAAATTTTTTCCGCATGAATAATTTTTAGGGCTTTGCAACCATGCTTTCACATACCTCGTTCGACCCGTCAACAGTTTTTGTATGGAAGCCAATAATAACCCAAAAAAATAATGTGACGATGGAGATGATGACAACTACAGGCACAAATATTCCAGCAATGTCGTCGGCTAACTGTTGGATAGGAGCCTGATTAAAAAAAAAGATAATTTTGAAAATAGAAAATTTTAAAATTTAAATTTTTTTTAGAAATTTTTAAAATTAGAACTGAATTAAATAGATTTGTTTTGAACTAATTTTATTTAATTAATTTTTCTAAATTTTAACAGCAATTTATCGAGATTAAAGAAAAAATTTGAGATTTAATTGCAGCGACGTAGACTCCACCTGATTGCTTCACGGGGAACTCGATCAGATGCTTTTTCAAGGTCTACAAAAATGTGTGATAGTTGTTGATGCTTTGCAAGGTACTTCTCTTGTGAATTGCATCAATTGTTGATTTCCCCGCTAGGAAACATAATTGATAATTTCCGATTGTGATGCACGACGTTAATCTTCTCAATGATTTTCTTGACAATTTTCAGGGAGTGTTTTAACAGACGTATACCCCGATATGATGAACCCTTCAATAAATAACCTTTGCCTTTGTATAGCGGAACTGTCATGCATTGACCAATTTCTCCAGACTTCACGGCAAAGTAATACTTCTCACTTTACGGCAAAGTCGATGGGTGGAGCGTCCAAGTTGACATTGATGGGATTTGTTTCATTTAACAGACGGTTGAAATATTCTTTCCACTGTAGCTTGATCTCATCTTGTTCAAGAACCATCTCATTTTGTCGTTTTGTATACATGAGGCACCAACTATGTCTTTTTTCGTACGCTTTGCTTGTTTTGTTATACGATACAGACATTTCATTTGTTCACCTCTGCTTTTAGTAAGCCACTTTCTGCACTGATCTGTTCGAGCCAGTGCGACTTGACGTCTTGCATAGTAGTTCTTTTCACGGAAAATTTTATGGTCATCAACAGACTTTGATTTTTGCCATTGCTTGTATGCAGCTTTCTTTTCAGCTATTGCATTTTGTACAGTGTCACTCCATCACCAATTGTCCCGTTCATGCTGACGTTTTGTACCAGTTTTCCCACAAACTGTAGTTGCAGAGTTTATCAAAACGGTTTTGTATGTACTCCAATCTGTACTGGATTGCGATTGGTGGTCTAACTGTGTGGCGACAATCTGTTGAAATTTTTCTCGATGAATATTGCTTTTCAGCTTCCACGTTTTGATTCTCCGAGGCATTTGTTTAGACTTATGTTTTGACAGTTCGACAACCAGGTCTGCCACAAGGAGTCTATGTTGGGCAACACATGATTTGCCAGGTATAACTTTGACATTTTTGAATAGCCTTCGGTGTTGTTGCTTGACAGCGAAGAAATCAATTTGCGTGGCTGATGGTCCACTTTTGTATGTTATGAGAAGTTCTAACCTCTTTCTAAAATATGTGTTCAGTAAACAAAACCTGTGACTTTCAGCAAACTCAAGGATGCGATTGCCATCTTCATTCCGTTCTCCATAGCCAAAACCACCATGTACGTTGTCAAAACCATCTGTTTTCTCTCCAACGTGGCCATTGAGATCGCCTCCAATCATGATTGTTTCAGATTTTGGTATTGTTGAGATGGTGTCAGAGAAAGCAGCCAAGAAGTCATTTTTCATCTCTTCTTATTCGCCTGTCTGTGGTGCGTATGCAGAAAAAATAATCATTGTTTGCTTTTTTAGGCGAAGCTTGATCCACATGAGACGTGAATCAATCCTTTTAATATCCAGTACTTCTTGGGCTAGCGTTTCTCTGACAAAAATTCCAACACCATTTTTGGCCGTCTTTTGACCATTCCAGAATAGTTTATATTTTTCTTTGTCTGAGTTGACATGACAAACACCATTCGATTTCCATCGGGTTTCCTGAAGGCAGCAGATGCCAATCCTTCTACGCTCAAGCATTTCTGCGATTTCCATGCTGCGGCCAGTCAGTGATCCAACATTTAGCGTTCCAAGTCTAAGTACCATAGAGGGGCCGTTCAGAATTTTTCTGCAACATCCCTCCGCTATTGCATACTTCACAAAGATTCTTGGCACTCCTTGACCACTTAAGGCCTGCTGGGGACTAGGGGCCGTTGTTTTTCTTTGTGATGGCATAGGAATAATTTGGGGAAAAGTTTTTCCATCCGGACACCCATCCTGACGACAACCACCAGTTATAAGCGGTGTGCCTAGCCTTTTGCTAAAAAGCACGCAAGGCAGAGTGGATGCAGTTTTATGTCATGTCCAGGACTACAAGTATATTAAATATTAAATAACAATCTGCAAATTTTATTAACTCCCGTCAATTTGATTTTAGTGTGATTGGCGTGTCTGAAACCTGGCTGAACAATAAAATATCAAAAAATCAAAATAGCAGAAAAAATTCTAAAGGAAAAATTTGAAGAAACCAAACAATACATAGAATGGCTGAGTTTTCTATAATGGTTGGAGAAAAGAAAAGTTCATGCTTTTTGTACTATAAAGAGATTACTTTAAAGATTTTGATAATGAAGTTGAAAAAGTTCATTTGATTGTTAAATTTCAAAATCATAATAAAAATAATCGCTTTTACCAGAACAGCCTTTAACATTATTAAAATTTATAAATTTGAAGCGGTTCGTTATAAAAACAAATAACATTAAAAAATTATAAAAAAAATAAAAATTTCAACAAATTTGTAGAAACTGCACAAACAAACTTTATTAGTTTGAGCTTCTTGCACCAACTTGACAATTTGCGAAAGAGCACTGTCAACCCCAACATGAGTTGCCCTCAACAACAACTGGCCATTTTGATTGAGTGACCCACCAATCACCTAACACACATTGTTATTACTTTCATTAAAACATGAGCATTCATTTAGACATACAGAAATATATATCACAAACTTGCACAGTAGCGGATCTAGACAAATTTACTGAAAGGCCAAGATTTTGAAAAATATTTGAAACCGGGAAGGGGGGGAAATTATCTAAAAAAGTTGACTACCGGGGGGAGTTTCCAAAATTAAAAAAAGTCGATGACTGGGGGGGTGATGACTGGGGGGGGGGGGTTTCCCAATAAGTAGTTGACGACCGGAGAGCTTGATGACGGTGGAAAAAGAAATTTTCAAAAAAAGAAAGTTGACGACCCCGCGGGGGGAAATTTAAAAGAAAGGCGATAAACGGGGTGGATTTTCTGAAAAAGTTGACGACCGGGGGGAATTTTCGCATAATTGGTTTCGAAAATTTTTCTGTGCTCACGGGGGGAGCCAACATTTTCACAAGAGAGCCAACATTTTCCTACTGACAGACTTAAAATGTCAATTTTCCCTTCAAAAACAGTCCTCCCCCGCCCCGCCCCCTGGACTTGCATCAAATAAAAAATGAATACAGACAAATAATTAAAAATAGTTGAGCTAATATTATTCTAAATTCCAAAGCGCGTCAAAATATCTTTTAACATAATTGCTAAACAGCAAAAAATAGAACGATAAAATTTTTAATAAAATAAAAGTTTTTCAACAAAATTGGTCAAAAGTAAAACATATATTGCAAAATTTTTCTCCACAGCCTGTTTATAACAATTGAAAGATTGCACTATTTTGTCGACTTTCAATCTTTCTTTTTCATCTTATTTATTTTTTCAAACAACTCACATTTGCAAAAATTTTTTTTAACAGGTAGCATTAGACAAACTAACTTACACAGAGAAAGCTAGAGTTTGACGGCGTTATAACTTCCATATTTCAAAACATCAAGTTTTGAATTCTTTTTACTTGTTTAGACAAATTAAAGTGAAAGTTGCTTTTGATAAAGAAATTGAACCCAAATATGAACAGAAAACCATAAAATATAACAAAATAATCAATAAAAGCAATATTGAATTATATGGTAAAATATTTTGAACTACTGTACAACTCTGCTCCGCAATTTCTACATGGATATAAACGGCCCGTGTTCATCTTCTGGAATATTTATTAATAATGAAAAATAAAAAAAAGAACTGAAAAAAAATTTATTAAAGACAAAAATGCACTGCAAAATTAACTTTTTAAATATTGCTAAAGCAAATGTGATGCTCAATACAAGCACTCTGCTATATGTCTGGAGTTGTTGTGAAGTAGAAAATTTTTATGTGCAATATTAGGCAATGGAACAGATGATATCAGTTTCAGGTTCTGAGAGTTGGAGTCAAATGAAAAAATTTTAGACTCTGACTCCAAATTTTTCAACTTTTGCATCATAATTTTACTTAAATATCACTGCTTAATAAAAATTTACTTTGAAAAACAATTAAAATCTGTCAATGTAATTGTTTTTCTTAATTAAATAACTTTATAATTACGTTTACAAACATGCAGAAAAAAATTATGAGATATTATTAGCATTTATTTTCAGTATTAAAGATGATTGTATATCGCATATCGCTACAAATATTTCTCTTATAAAAACAAAACAATCATACACAAAATTTAAATTCTTAGCACTTTCCGAAAAACTCCGACTCCGGCAAAAGTTTCCGACTCCGACCGACTCGAATTCGACACTCTGTGTAAGAGAGGGGGCATTGTGTATTGAAACGCGTATTAGTTGAATAGCAGGTTAAAGACAATAAGTTTGTTGGCATTGTAAAAAGGGGTAATGAATGTTGAGTTGGGTGTAGAGAATTTCGTTTAAAAAATGGGTTTGTTTTCTAATTAGAAGATGATTTTCAAAAAAAAGTTGAGTTTCCTGTGCAATGAAAAAAAAAGAACCAACAAAACGTGGAGTAAGTTTAAAGAACTGACACAACTACTGAGTCCAAAAAGTACATCTAAAAAAGATAAATGGTTGTTCATACAAACTGTGTTATAAAAAGCTTTCGTATAAAAGCAAGACGCTAACCCCGGCAAAAAAAGGATAAAAAAATTGGAAATATTGAAAATATTGAAAAAAATCATGATACGAGCCTGTTTAAATAAAATAACAAATTATTATATAAATAAAAAACAAATTAATAAAAATTTGCGTATTAGATTATTAGATAGTAGATTGCGTATCAAAGAATGAGAAATTGAAAAGGTCGGATATAAAAAAAGTTTAAACTTTATGCTTAAATATTGAAATTTGGAAACCGGAACAAAAAGAAACAACGTAATACTTATTAATTTTAACTGAGAACCTGTGAACCAGTGGTTTTAGCAACGGGCATAGATTCCCCAGTTATGAATGATTCATCACATAATGAGTATCCGCTTATCACTTTACCATCGACTGGTATCTTTTCCCCTGGACGAACCTATCACATGTTTAAGCAAAATAATAGAAATAAATAGCATTACAACTGAATAAAACAAAAGTATTTAATATTACTAATAAATCGACACTAATACAAAATGATTTGAAATTGTCAAAACGTTTTTAGAGAGCCTCACTGGATTTCAAAACTAGAGTGATCCAAACAACTCAATTCTAATGTGCAAGTCATTCAAGTACAGAAAGTACAAAAGTTTTCTTTATGAAATGTGTTTTTGCAAAGTTATTAACTCACACTCCCCACTTTAATGCAGGTTTAAAACAAATTGTGCTTATTACTAATTCGTTTTACAACCCTTTTTAGTCCGACAAGATTGGCAAAAAAATAAAAGTAACTGCAAGTATAACAAAAACATGTAAAGTATATCAATAAATGCAAACTGTGCCTACCGACTTATCCAAAATAAATTGCACATTGTCATATATAGATATGTTCAAAAATAGCGTAAACTTTTCTTCGGCAGATACGCCCAAAATGGAGTGGGAATCTTCAATAAATTATGCTGATTAAACTCAGAATGAAAAAAAGGGTTCTGACTGTTTTCTCTGCATATGCACCACAGACCGGTAAACCTGAAGACTTCTGGAACAAACTCTTAGATGCCGTCAGGAAAACACCATCATCAGAGATACCATTCATATGTGGCGACTTCAAAGGCCACGTTGGAGAGAAAGCAAATGGGTTCCCCGGTGTCCATGGAGGCTTTGGCTACGGGTATCAAAACGAAGACGGTGTACGGATTCTGGACTTTGCTGAAAGAGATGAACTCTCCCCGTTGAACACTTATTTCAAAAAGAGTGCAGAACATTTGATCACATATAAAAGCGGAATGTCATGCACACAAATTGACTTTATTTTCGTCAGACAACAACACAGACGACTATTCAGGAATACCAAAGTCATTCCAGGCGAAGCATGAATCCATTAACATCGATTGCTGGTGGCCGATATGATCATGAAACGATCACGCCCGGTGAATAATCGAATGCCTACTAGAATAAAAACATGGAAACTGAAGAAACCCATGTTCAGGGAGAAACTCGAGAAGTTGTTATCGGCAGAGCTGGATCGTCTGAAGAAGGGTGACATAATCTGGAAATCTTTTTAGAACACCCTAGAGAACTCTGCAACAGCTGTATGTGGAAAATCTGGAACAAACCGCCAGCACAACCCCGAAACTTGCTGGTGGAAGGAGAAGATGCAAAATGCTATTGCCAGTAAGAAAGCAGCTTTCAAACAATGGCAGAAGACGAAGACTGATGAAGATCGAAAGACATACCGATCAAAGAACACAGAAACGAAATGTCAGGTTGCGATAGCTCGTGTAAATCAATGCAAGGTATGGCTGTCTGGAAGTAAAGGCGGTCACTTTACTAAATAGCAAATCAGGCCAAAAGACTGAAAAAGGATATAGTTGGTGCCACATGCATAAAGGATAATAAAGCCACCATAATAACCTTGCAGAATCAAGTGAAGAATCACTGGAAGGATTACTTCGATTAGTTACTGAATAAAACTAACCCTATTGGGGTGGACTTTGATGCACTTTCGGTGGAAGGATCGATTCAGAACATCACAGCTGAGGAGCTTACGGATGCGCTGAAGGCAATGAAGGTGTGTAAAGCGGCGGGTCCGTCCGGACTTACAAATGATATCATCAAGGCATCTGGTGTGGCAGGCTTCAGAGCCTTCTTACACATCTGTCAGAAGATGTGGAATAAATCGATATTACCAGCGGAGTTGAACAGTAGCACAACGGTGCCGATATATAAAGAAAAAAGAGACCCACTGAAATGCTCCTCATATCGGGGTATACGTCTTCTGAAACATCACCTGAAAGTTATTGAAAAAGTCATTGAGAGAAGACTGTTGTCGTGCGTTTCAATAGCTGGTTACCAGTATGGCTTCATGGCAGGGAAACCCACAATTGATGCTATCTATATCATTTGTCAACTACAAGAAAAATACATGGCAAAGCAAACGCGACTGTTCCACGTATTTGTGGACATGGAAAAAGCTTTTGACAGAGTGCCTCGTGAAACAATCAGGTGAAGTCTATCTACGTAGACAGATTGTTCCCAAATATCTGGTTTGGCTGGTTATGGTAACGTACTCTAACACAAAAACTCTGGTCAGCACAACAGCCGGTAACACGAATTTGATATTAACGTCGGCGTCCATCAGAGATCAATACTCAGCCCCCTGTTCTTCATCACGGTGATGGAAGAAATAACCAAACCGATACGCTCAGATAACATATGGAATGTGATATATGCAGGTGATATCGTCCTGACAGCGGCCTCGGAACAAGACGCAGCGAGAAAGTTTAAGATCTGAAATACCCAACTCGCCGAACACGGTCTAAAGGTAAACCTTGACAAAACAAAAACTATTATCACCAGTGATACCGCTGAGCCTGTTGTCTCTGGTCATTGGCCATGTTCGGTGTGTGGGGCTGGAGTTGGAAACAACTCGATCAAATGCCTACGATGTCAGCAGTGGTGTCACAAACGATGCTCAAGAATTACCGGCTCACTGAGAAAAGTGACTGATTTCGTAGGCCCCGCCAGCATCAACCCGCGACAACGGAGCCCAGATAATTACCGGGATCAAAACTGTTACTTCATTTCAGTATTTGGGAGATATGCTGGATTGTACTTGAACAGCTGATGCCGCCGTTCGTGGACGCATACGTGCGGCGTGGGGCAGATGGTACCTCATTGCCTCGGTACTGATGCGGCGTAGCATGCCTCTAGCTGCGCTCAGAGCTATACAACACATCTATAGGTCCTGTTCTGATGTATGGTACAGAGACGTGGTCGATGACAACAAAACTCGAACCGCAGCTTCCCCGAACTGACAAGAAAATGATGCAGCATGTTACTTAAGGGACCATATTCATACCACCGAGATCCTGAACCGATCGGGACTGGGCACGTTGAAGGATGCATGTCGTCTTCACGCCTACGATGGTTTGGCCACGTGAAGCAAAGCGAAAACGATACAATAATTTCCGTTATTGAGCACCAGGTACCTGACACCCGCCCAAGAGATCGCCCAAAAAAGTCCTGGACGCAGACCATACAGGAGGACTTGAGGGCACTTGGTCTCAAGAAGACACAAGCAATGGATAAATCGGCTTAGAGTCAGAAACTGATGAATAGAATAAAAAAGTCCGACCCATAACGGATGGAGACTATGAACGAGGATTGATTATTAAGTAGTGAATATTTGAAAAAAAAATTCGTTATAACTGCAAATATTAATTCAATTGATATGTAAATTTGATTATTAAACTGCCTAATATTAAAGTGTATTAAATATTAAGAACAGAAACTACAAAGATAAAAATAAAATTATATCAACATAATCCATATCAATAATAAAGACGCTGACAACAACCAAAACATCGACAACAACTTTAAACATCATTAAAAAAGATGTAAAGCGAAAAACATAAGAATTCCAGTTGCGGAAGGATAGCCGACAACCGTGCTGAAACACCGTTAAATGATCAATCAGACAAACAAACAAAAAAATTTTATGAATTATAAGATTATATTCTTAAGCTTCTGCTTTTGACACCGCAATTAGTTTTTCAGCTCATCAACCTTTGAATTTTTAAAAATAGTGCTATAAAAATAATATTCGATTGATTGATTGATCAAAAAAAATTTAATATTTGTTTAATGACCCACACACGCTTCAATAAACTTTGTTTTGTATACTTTCAATAGGTATCAGTTACAGTGCATAAGAAGTTATTTAATTCATATTATACTCACTTTGTTTGACTATTAAAGTGTTAATTTAAATGATCTATTTGTCGAATCTTTAGAATGAAGTCTGTAGTTTACAGTTAAAAAAGATGTTGTAACGTTTGAATTTAACCATTTCCGAAAATTTGAAACCAAATTAAAGAATTTAGGACGAAATTAATTTTTTGACGTGTTTTAATCAAACGGGTTTAGACTGTGTTTATGACAGTCCAATTAACACACGTATAAAAACAACAACAAATAATGTTTAAATAAGCTTAAACCTTTAATATGTCACCTCTTTCAACCAGTTCAAGTTGCAAACTCTGTTCCGTACGGACAGCACCTTCTTCATCGAGCTCAACAACAACAGCTTCAGTTGACTGCATTGACAATAATTTGTTTAATGCTTCCGATGTTCTTTTCTGTTTATAAAAAAAGGATTGAAAGAAAAACCATGTATAAGCTAACTAAATCGATACTCCATACCTTAGCCAAATGTTCCATCCATCTTCCAAATGAAATAAATACCATTAACATAGGAGTTGTTTCAAAAAACGTTTTTGGACTACTTTGACTTCTTATACACAGAACAGCAATTAAAAGTACGATTATAGAGTAAAAGAAGGATGTTAATGAAGCAAGAGTAATGAGAACATCCATATTTGCTTGACCATAACGCAAAAATTTGAAAGCTCGTTTATAGAATAATTTGAAAGCCAAAATCTGTGTTAAAACAAAAACAAATACCTGTTTTATTTTAATGTAACATTAAATACCGAAATTTTATTTAAAAAAAACTGTCACTCATTTTATAAAATTTATTTATTTGCCAAATTTAAGCAATCTTTCTCCTCTACCATTTCTGTGTCCTACATCATATACTCTCTAATTTTTAACAATCTAACATCTTTTTTGACAGTGCTTTCAATATAATGAATAGTTGTTTGCAAAATTAATCAACGTTTTCCAACTGTTGACGTTTACAAAAATCTTACACTGATGTAGAAATATTCAATTTACACAGGATCAAGTCAAAAACAAATTTGAATATTAATATGAATGTTCGAAAAATTTAATATGCCGCTAGACCATTAACGCCTCAAGTGATGAAGATAGAGAGAGCAAGTTTCTATTAGAACCTTCACACCTTCTTCCTAGCGTTATTAACACTCAATAATTATTCGGCAATCGTTTAAAGTCGTTTATTCTTTTTCTCTAATAAACATATATGTTTCTATTTATAGAGGCTTTCCTCTGAGCACTTTTGCCAGCACAGGGAAATAAGCAGACTCTGCGTGTCAGGCATGCGTAGCACTACCAGGTTAATCGTACTCAGCTTTGGAGTCTAAGTAATTTGAATTTTTGGTTGAACACAGCCTCAGCCTTTTCCTTGGCCCATCGGCATACCTGTCGTCTCCATCCACCCATGTAACGTTGCTCATCATCCACTACGTGGATGCAACGGCTACTATATAGGACGTATATAGGACGTTTGGCAACTCAGCCAGTAGAAATGCCAAGTCTCGTTCAGTTATGCGGTGAACTGGTTCCGAATACTTCTGCCCCGACACTCAAAGACTCCATATGGGCTTCCCGGGGCAAACATAACGTGTATGTACATCATATGGTGTGGAGAGTTTGGTCTTTGTGACACAAACAGAGTTCATGAGAACTTGAATGGGCGCTATATAAACTTTACATATTATTATTATTATATTTTTGTCGTTTTTGATGCATGAGGCACCAACTATGTCTTTTTTCGTACGTTTTGCTTGTTTTACAGTACGATAATGAAATCTCTGTATCGTATAGTAAAATAAGCAAAGCGTACGGAAAAAGATATAGTTGATGCCTCATGTATCAAAAACGACAAAAATGAGATGGTTCTTGAACAAGATGAGATCAAGCTAAGGTGGAAAGAATATTTCAACCGTCTGTTAAATGAAACAAATCCCATCAATGTCAACTTTGACGTTGATAAAATATAACCACCCATCGACTTTGCCGTAAAGTGAAAAGTATAACTTTGCCGTGAAGTGAGAAGTATAACTTTGCCGTGAAGTCTGGAGAAATTGCTCAATGTATGACAGTTCCGCTATACAAAGGCAAAGGTGATCCATTGAACTGTTCATCATATCGGGGTATACGTCTGTTAGAACACTCCCTGAAAATTGTAGAGAAAATCATTGAGAGAAGATTAACGTCGTGCATCACAATCGGAAATTATCAATTTGGTTTCCTAGCGGGGAAATCAACAATTGATGCAATTCACATCATTTGGCAACTACAAGAGAAGTACCTCGCAAAGCATCACAACTATCACACATTTTTGTAGACCTTGAAAAAGCATTTGATCGAGTTCCCCGTGAAGCAATCAGGTGGAGTCTAGTCGACAACTCATTCTAGAATATCTTGTTCAACTTGTGATGGAAATGTATACGAATACTAAGACTCTCGTCAGCACAACGGTCGGAAACACAGATGCATTTGATATCGGCGTTGGTGTTCACCAAGGCTCGATTCTCAGTCCACTGTTATTTATAACTGTGATGGAAGAAATCACAAAACCGATACGCACTGGTGACATTTGGAATCTAGTATATGCTGATGATATCGTTTTAACAGCCACGTCTGAGCAGAATGCAGCACAGATGTTCCAAGATAGGAACACAAAACTCGCCGATCATGGATTCAAAGTCAACATCAGAAAAACCAAAACAATGAACACTGGTGAACCCATCCAATCTACAGCTACTGGACGATGGCCCTGTTCAGTTTGTAAAGCTGGTGTAAGTAACAACTCAATCAAGTGTTAGCAGTGTAACTAGTGGTGTCACAAACGTTGTTCAAAAATAATTGGTAATTTATCTAAAGTGTCCAATTTTGTTTGTCCTGCTTGCATCAGTCTACAACAACATATTCAAAATAGCAATGTTTTTGAAGCCATTAAGGTAGAGAAAGTCACATCGTTTCAATATCTATAGGATGTTCTGAATTGTAATGGAACAGCTGAAGCTGCCGTTCGATCACGCATACGTGCAGCCTGGAATAAATGGCATCTCCTTGCCTCTATATTGATGCGCATGACATCCCACTACCACTACGATCAAGACTTTATAAATCTGTGATCCGTCAGGTGTTGTTATATGGTGCCGAAACATGGCAAATGACATCCAAACTGGAACAACAACTTCACCGAACCGATATGAAAATGCTCCGATGGATGCAACGAATTAGTCTGAAGGACCACATCAAATTTACCGAAATCCTGCGTCGTGCAGGTTTAGATGATATAAAAGACGAATGCCGACAACACCGTCTGAGGTGGTTTGGTCATGTCAAACGAAGTGGAAGCAGTGCCATAACTTCTCTTGCAGATGTTGAAGTACCTGGCACACGTCCCAAAGGCCGTCCAAAGGAGTTCTGGTTAGGGATGCACCGAAGTTCGGCCCCGGTTCCGGCCAAAATCCGGTTTTTTCCAAATCCGACCGAATCCGGCCCCGGTCGGATTTGGTGGCCGGATTTAAGCGTCTATCGACATTTAAAAACGTTATAAATAGAAAAAAAAATTTCATTGAATTCAATTAATTTTATGTCAATAAGTTAAAAGCTAAGCATACATGACACATAATAACAACATCACTAATTGTGAAATGAGGTGGAACAGCTTTGTGTACAGAATTTGGCGTATCACACAGCTTATTCATATATTAATATTTGAATTAATTAACTATTTGCTTGGTGTTATTTTTTTATGTTCAACATGTAGATAACCGTAAATGTGAGTATTTTTTTAACGTATGTAAAATGGTAACTAAAATCCGGCTCCGGCCCCGGCCGGTTTTTGAATTTTAAATCCGGCCAAGTCCGGCCCCAGCCGGATTTGAAAAACCTGAATCCGGTGCATCCCTAGTCCTGGTCGCAAACAATTGAGCAAGACATGAAAGCTCTAAAGTTAAATGAAATGGATACAACTGATCGCCTAATTTGGCGCAAAAAATTGATGGCAAAGAAAACAACGTCCTACCTCGAGAGAACTTGGTCTCTGGGCGCTAAACGATGATTGATTGATTATTATTATTATCTAATTTCAGTTTTAAACTATATTATGGTCAGAATGGATTTTAGAATAGCAATAAATAAATGAAACGAGCTTTCTATTTCCTTAACCCACTTCCTTGTAGTTTCTAAAGACTAATCCTGAAAAGTGGTGCCCGTGTTAGACGTTGGGATTACTAAATTTTTTTCCATCAGCAAGGTCGAGAGAGGAATCATGATGCATGGGGAACTCACGATTCTTTAATAAATGCCCAAAAATGCGCACCGGAGAGAAAACTCTGGAAATGCGACTTTGCGGCTGAATAATACGATAGGGAGCAGTTACGGGTTATAAGTCTAGCTTCATTGGCGTAAGGTACGGACGCCACGGGTTGCCTCTGATGGTGGGATAGGTCTTTGTGCCTTACTAATCAACTACCGCTCGCCTAATCTGAGCAGCCAATAGAATAAAATGTTGATTCGCCACGTCTGCCTGCTTTAATTAATGCTTATGTTAGATCAACAAGGCTGAACACTTGCACCAAACAAAAACAAAAGTAAAAATATAATAAAAACGAATTCTGTTAAGCGATTGGCTACATGGAATGTCTGAGCTATAAGCCCTGAGATTGTGGAAGATCATTGATTAATTAATGGCTCAGGAAAGACAGCAGTAATAAACAGAAAACAGGATTCGAGGATAATAGTGTGCTTACTACTTTCGATGACAACTCCCCCCGTTGGAGATACGGAACGTATTCTAAGCATTGGCTTACAGATAGCAACAGATAAAAACCACCCTGATTAGTACATATGCCCCTACATAAAGCTCATCCCAGGAGGACAAGGATAGGTAATACGACAACCTGAAAAAACGATTGGTTGCATCTTATAGAGAGAACATCTGTTGGTTGAAACCGAAACAACACAAAATCTAATAGAGCATCGTTGGAAGTAGCAGTATTGATTTTATCAGTGAAATAACTAGAGAAACGCCGCAGAAAGCGGGGAAGAAACCCAAGCTTCATTACCAGACAGACGCAATAACTTATCCAAGAACGTCCTTCCACTCTCCTTCCAAAGGTTAGGTATCTGTTGAAAAAAAGGCGCCGATTTTGCTATAAGATTTTACCTTCTAGCTTTTCGAATTCTCCGTTCATTGAAACAGTCACACCAGTGACGAACAGCCTTAGATTGATACAACACATGCAAGTCCGACATTTTACGCCTCCAGTGAAACCTGGCATCATTACACAGATTAACGTCTGTAGCATCGCTCAGCATCATAAAAGCAGACTGATTTACTCACTCAGCGACGACAAGTAACAACCACCGGAAACTGTTCATCACCTATCTGATTAAATATCGACAAATACAGGTTGACCAGTTTATCGAACGAAGTTGTGGCAGTGAAGTGAGGTTGCCACAGATTGGAGAAGCTAGAAGGTAAAATATATATAATAAATCGGCGCTTTTTTCCAACAGATACCTAACATCTGGAAGGACAGTGATTGCACCACCACATCCATCAAAACGAAAAGAAAAGGTAACCAAAGAATGATCAGAAGCAGACAATGGACTGACAAGAGAAGACAAACATTTGACAAAAATGTCTAAATTCATCCAATAAAATTCCATCTAAATTCTTTGAGCTAGATCTGCACACAGAAACACACAACACTTGAGACTGGCCGAATCGAAACAGCAAATGGAATGCTTAAAAAGAAGAAAAAGTGCAACCCTGATCATACGGCCGAGACCCAAGCCTTACATTGTAAATCAGGGCAAGTCCATTTCCTCTGATCCTCTCACCACAAGACCGTGGCGGTTGCGGAGCATCGATGCTAAGAAAAGATAAAAGAATACATAACAAAAACGCCAAATTATTACGGAAATGATGCCATGCTCCCGTTAAAATCATGAGATTGCCGCAATTCTTAGCATTCGGACACCACGCCATAAAAGTATTAGACTTTGAACCAACCAAATCACCATTCAGAAGGCCCACCCTAAAAATACTTTGAACCAAATCATCAAAACCCATGACGCACATACACATTACGTATGCACGCACAAGCACGGCATCATACGCGTAGGATTAAATTTGGGATCAGACAGTACTCAAACCATGTCGTTGCGTAATAGCAGTGCGAGACATGGCGTTTCTACCGATTGAGTTAACTCGGTGACCTAATTAATATTATATCATTAATATTATAAAAATATTAATAATAAGCAATGCAATAAACTCAGACAAAAACGACACTCTGAAATTTTTATCAAAGTCAAAATTGTACAACTTCAACTAATAACCTGAACAGGGGAAGTAATTACTACAAGAAGAAGGTTTCTGAGAGATAACCCTGGTACAAGGATGTCATCATTTATAATGCAATATTTACTTTCATTACCCACTGCTCCAATCAGAATTGAAAAATTTGAAAATTCATCAAATGATTTATAAAAAACCGATGTTGTTTGTTGAAATTGTATGTCTAAATTGTTAAACGAAGGAAGTACAAAGTGTCTGTTAACAGAATTACCAGAACTTTTGGTGTTGGGACAAATAAACATGAAGTAAAACATGACAACTGTCATCGGGATGCCAAACAACAAAGAAATTTTTAAAGAATTTTTCCATCTGAAATAATGAAATTTAACTTTTATTAGAATTTAAATGCCAATTGTAACTAAAAAAAACATTGAAACGAACACCTTTTCACAATTAAAAAAATGCCGCAAGGGTTATGGTGAAATTAAACAAAATCTCTAAATAAGTTTGAACTGAAACTGTTTCTACATCCAACCAAAAATGTTGCGAATTTTCAAGCCAAAATCGCTGATTCTAACACAAAAATTGGCAAATGCCAATTGTAACTAAAAAAAGGCATTGAAACGAACACCTTTTCACAATTAAAAAAATGCCGCAAGGGTTATGGTGAAATTAAACAAAATCTCTAAATAAGTTTGAACTGAAACTGTTTCTACATCCAAACAAAAATGTTGCGAATTTTCAGCCAAAATCGCTGATTCTAACACAAAAATTGGCAAATAGATGTGGGGGAAAAAGAAAAAAAAGGTCACAAGCTTTTTTAGCCTTGTTTAAAAAACTCAAAAAATGTTTAGTTACACCACTGAATGTCAATAATTACGTTAACAGTAGACAAACAATTTTTGGCCATATTTACACACATCTACATGAAGCAATTTGAAGCAAATATAATACCAAACTTCATCTAAAACCTATTTTTCTTTACTGTTTATAAACTAATAATTTCTTTCTCTCAGTTATGATAAACAATAGAAAAAACGATACACATATTTTCGCATCTAAAGAAAGAATTCAAGCATTCTTCAATTGTTACTGAATTTTCTTCTAGTTAAACGTACACCAAAGGCTAATTTAAAATATAGTTTCTAATGTCACTCTTTCATATCTCGTCAATGGCAACCGGTTGTCAAATATATATGTGTGTGTGTATATATATATATATATATATATATATATATATATATATATATATATATATATATATATATATATATATATATATATATATGTGATGCCGAAAAGAGCTTTTTTGTAGTAATAAGGTTATTAATAATGTTTTGTCAAAACTGTCAAATATTAAAAGTTTTTTATTTAACCTTATTAATAAACTTCATCAAGATGATAAAAGTCAACTACAAGTTGAATAATGCCGGAAAGATCACTGCCGGAAACGCAGTGATCTTTATATATATATATATATATCAAATCAAATATTGTATTTATATAGCGCCAATTATAATTGCTTCTCATCAGCGCTCTCCTCGTATGAAGCATGTTGAAAGCGAAGCCATCATCGGTTGAGATCACTAGGAGTTACCAAATAAGTATGTCTTTAGACGTTTTCTAAACTCAGCTAAAGATAACCCGGATATACGTAGTTCGATAGGTAAGCTGTTCCAAAAAATAGGCCCAGCAACTGCAAAATCTCTATCTGCTGTTTTCAGATTCCGATCTCTAACATACAGCGTGTTTGAATCAGCAGACCTTAGACGCCCATGTGATGACATAAGATGTAGATGAAACTCGAATACACTTACCTTCTGAATATTTCGGAGCCAGACCATTCAAACTTTTAAATACCATTACACCCAACTTGAACATGATTCTTTGTTTAACACGCAGCCAATGCAACTCCTTTAGAATTGGTGATGCATGATCAAATTTTAATTTGCGATATATCATTCTAGCAGCCTGATTCTGAACCATCTGAAGTTTAGACAACAGTTTATCAGCTATGCCGTATAGAAGACTGTTACAATAATCCAATCTAGAGTTAACGAAAGCATGTACTAATAAAGTCATTGTATCTCTATCTACCGATTTTGTGACTTGACGTAATTGACGTAGCTGGAACATACATTTTTTAATCAATAGACTGACTCGTGGACCCATTGTCATACGGGAGTCCATCACAATTCCCAAATTGGTAACCGTTTTACTGAAACTTATATCGGTCATGCTGATGAAGGTTCAACCGCTGACGTTTATTGCCATGTACCAGCCAACATGAACTGAGTCTTAGTCTGATTCAACTTTAGCCTACTTTGACCCAGCCACGAGCCGACATCAGATATAGTTTTTGTCAGTTTCTCTAATACGGTAGGCATCTCATCTGGAAAACATGAAACGCAAATCTGCATGTCATCTGCGTACCCATGGCAATATTAACCATCTTTATTCAGTAAATCCAATATCTCTGCAACGTACAAATTAAAAAGAATTGGTCCAAGAACAGATCCTTGAGGTACCCCTGACGTAAGTTTCATTGGTTCCGAGAGACCACCTGAGTAAGAAATCTGCTGAGTCCGACCAGTAAGAAATGATTCGAACCACGTTAAAGCAATCTTATTTAAACCATAACAATATTTCAGTCTGTCCAGCAGGACTTTATGATTCACAGTATCGAACGCCGAACTCATGTCCAGGAATGTCAACAAAGTTACTTTTTGTACATTAACTGCTGAATAAACATGAGAGAATATATCCGATAGAGCTGTTTCGGTCGAATGAAACCTTCTTTATCCAGATTGATGCAAAGGCCAAATACCATTTTTATTTATATGATTATTTAAAACTAACTCAACGGAACGTTCTATAATTTTAGAAACGAAAGACAAATTTGACACCGGCCTATAGTTTATCAGATCTGATTTATCTAATCCCGTCTTCTTTAGAATTGGCGTGACAATTGCATGCTTGCAAACCTGTGGCATTACACCCTTCGTTGAGCACATGTTGATTAAGTCCGTTAAGTAAACAATAAAACAGTCAGCATGTTCTTTGAATACATATATATATATATTGTTGCCCATTTAGCATTTATTAACTTTTTTATAATCGATTCAACGGAACGCAATTTTGCATAATCATATTTATTCAATAATTGTGTCATAGCTAGGCTGACAGCTGTCTCGGCAAAGATGCCATCGTCGGAGCCTTGGGTAATTAAACAAAGTGTATCAAATTGTAATTGTATAAAACCAATGCGTTAAATGTAATGTCAAATTGAAACAAAATGGAATAAGAGAAAAACCTTGAAATTGAGAATTCAACGGTAATGAAATATATAGTGTTATAAAAAAATAAAAATTAAATTTGTTAACTAAGAATCTTATAAAATAATTAAATTAATTAAATAAAAATTACAAAACAGTAAATACTTTAAAACAAAATTTTACAACAACGAAAATAAAAAAGTTTAAGTGGCTATTGTACGTATTGCAAGCGTGTGTATTGTGTACATTCTATTGCCATGATATTCATCAAACGGTTGGTATATATAGTTTGCTGTATTGTAATTGTAGTTGGATATTCCACCAAATTTACTCACAGAGCTTCTGAAATTATGTACCGTGGAAAATCCCTTCACCGCTCCAGATCGCTTACAGTATCGACTAATCGATGGCATAGCGATGGGTTCTCCTCTTGATCCAATATTTGTCGAATTCTATATGGTCGACCTCGAGGCGAGAATATTTAATTATCCGGACAACAATCAATATAGCTGCTACTACTTCTCAACAAACCACAACTAAAACAATAATACCGTTGTACTATTTAATCAAATGCACGACAACTACAAAGCCGACGAAGCAAAACTGAAACGCATCATTAAATCCAACATTTCGATCTGCGACAACAATCGACTTAAATTAATAATATACTACAACACCAATAGTACGTCCAACCTCATTATAAAAAACAGCAATAACCGACCTTCTTCTACATTAGAGAAGACGAATCTCGTGTACCAATTCATATGTCCTATGCCACACAGTGTTGTAGAAAGTTACATCGGTCACACGCGAACTAGTCTTTCTCGTAGACTTACCACACACGTACAAGACGGTGCCATTAAAAATCACATGGAAAGTAAACACCGTATGCCTCTCACTAGAGCTATACTGGACCCAAATACGACGATACTCGAGTTTGGAACCAATCCAGTCCGTCTCAAAATCAAAGAGGCCTTGTATATCAATAAACGCAAACCTTCAATCAATAAGCAATTTAATAGCTTCGAGCATACATTACAGTTATTTTCACAATATTGAGATGTGATCCCTACGCCAGCCGTTGCTGTCAACCCCATCAATCACATCGAATGACTACAAATGAATTTCTACCAGTAAATACGGGCTTCTTGACGCAGCGTTGCCGGTCCAATACGCACAATAGCCAGTTAAACTTTTCTTATTTTCGTTATTGAAAAATTTTGTTTTATAGTATTTTGGGTTTTGTAATTTTTATTTAATATATTTATATTGTTGAATCAATGGGATCATTTTGATGTTGATTCCAGTGTTAAGAATGAACTAAACTTATGCCGGAAAGAATTTATACAACTAACTGAATTGTTGAATCATATATATGCCAAGTTGATGGTAAAGAAATCAACTTCTTACCTTGAGAAACTGGGTCTCTGGCCGATAAACGAAGATTTATATATATATATGTATATATATATATATATATATATATATATGTATATATAAATATATATATATATATACATATATATATATATATACATATATATATATATATATTGTTGAATCAATGGGATCATTTTGATGTTGATTACAGTGTTAAGAATGAACTAAACTTATGCCGGAAAGAATTTATACAACTAACTGAATTGTTGAATCAATGGGATCTCTGTGATGTTGATTGCAGTGTCATGAATGAACTAAACTTATGCCGGAAAGAATTTATAAATGCATATATGCAGCATGAATTCGGAAAATAAGTTTATTTTGAATTTTAATAAACTAAACGTTCACCAAAAAAATTTAGTGAGAAAAATTGAAAAAACGAACTACAAACATATTAACGCCAAACATTTGGTAGAATTTATAGAATATTGTAAAAATATATATATATAAAACATCATATATATCTATATATAAACATCATATATATCTATATATAAACATCAAATATTTCTATATATAAACATCATATATATTTATATATAAACATCACATATATCTATATATAAACATCATATATATCTATATATAAACATCATATGTATCTACATATAAACATCAACAAAATGTCATTCCCAAAAACTTACGGACCATGGTCTCAAGTGACAGCGAATAGAGAAGAAATAGAAACAGTATCAAAATTTATCTATTTAGGAAGTCATATTCACAAGGCAGGTGGAATAGAGGAGAAATTGAAAAAAAAGGAAAAAACTAGCAGAAGGAGTATTTCAGAGACTCCAAAGTTTTCAATAGATATGACATAGGACTACAAGTCAAACCAAGAACCTTTAATGCTACGATGGTCCCGGTTTTGATACATGGAGCTGAGTCGTGGTTGGCATTAACGAGAACCCTGGAAAAAATTTGGATGCCTACATGTAGATTAGAAGAATGATGCTAATTGACTACAAAGATCATGTCACAAATGAAGAAATCAAGAAAAGAACAGGACGAATGAATATTAGTGACGTTTTGAAGAAAAGGAGATTGAAGTGGGCTGGACATATGATGAGGATATGGAGGAGTTCAGAACACCTAAGATAATCTGGAAGTGTCAACCAGAGGGAATAAGATCATACCTAAAACGAGATAGAACGAGTGTCTTAGTCGAGATTTGGAAGGACCTGGGCTATCATAACACGAGTGTGAAAGAACTAGAATAACATTAGAAGAGATTGGGAAAGACAGAAACAGATGGCGACAAGTCATTTTGGCCTCTTTGGAGACAACCAACAGAGAAATTAAAATATATATATATATATATATATATATATATATATATATATATATATATATATAAGTGAAAAAATAGCAACAAACATATTGACTTCCTTGTTATGATCATTTGAGGATGATTCAAAAGGCTTAGAAGAAATGCACTTCACGTGGAGATCATGATGCTGATGGTAATATAAAAGTTAATAATTACCTTCATTAATCATTGTAAAAAAAAATACGTTATGAATTAAAAAAAAACATAATAATCGTGTCAATTAATAAACATAATAATCGTGTCACTTTAAATACTGGTTCGCTTACTGGATGCTCCATGGAGATCATCGACATGCTGGAAAGGCGAAGGGTTGATATCTGTTCTCTGCGGAAAACAAGATGGAAATCAAATTGTGTCTCTATCATTGGGAGTTACAAGTTGTTCTGGAATGGCCAAAAGACAGCCCAAAATGGAGTGGGAATCTTCATACGAGAATCACTGGCACAAAATGTGCTAGAAGAAGTTCGAATCAGCTCACGCCTAATGCTGATTAAACTCAGAATTTGGAAAACAGGTTCAGACTGTTTTCTCTGCATATGCACAACAGACCGGTGAATTTGAAGACGCCAAAAATTACTTCTGGAACAAACTCTCAGATGCCGTCAGGAAAACACCATCATCAGAAATATCATTGATATGTGGTGACCTCAACGGCCATGTTAGAGATGTGTCCATGGAGGCTTTGGCTACAGATCTCAAAACGAAAACGGTATAGGGATTCTAGAATTTGCTGAAAACCATGAACTCTCCTTGCTGAACACTTATTTCAAGAGAGCAAAACATTTGATCACATATAAAAGCGGGATGTCATGCACACAAATTGAGTTTATTGTCGTCAGACAACAACATAAACGACTATTCAGGAATACCAAAGTCATTCCAGGCGAAGCATGCATCCATCAACATCAATTGCTGGTGGCCGATATGATCATGGAACGATCACGCCCTGTGACTAATCGAATGCCCACTAGAATGAAGATATGGAAGCTGAAGAAGCCCATGTTCAGGGAAAATTTCGAGTTGTTATCGGCACAGCTGGATCGTCTGAAGAAAGTAGACGTAACCTGGAAATCTTTTTAGGACACCCTAGGGAACGCTGCAACAGCTGTATGTGGAAAATCTGGACCATAACGCCAGCACAACCGCGAAACATGATGGTGGAACGAGATGGTGCAAAATGCTATTGTCAGTAAGAAAGCAGCTTTCAAACAATGGCATAAGACGAAGACTGATGAAGATCGAAAGACATACTGATCTGATCAAAGAACACAGAAGCGAAATATCAGGTTGCGATAGCTCGTGCAAATCAATGCAAGGTATGGCAGTCTGGAAGTAAAGGCGGTCACTTTACTGAATAGCAAATCAGGCCAGAAGACTGAAAAAGGATATAGTTGGAGCCACATGCACAAAGAATAATAAAGGCACCATAATGAAATGAAGGATCACTGGAAGGATTACTTCGATCAGTTATTGAATGAAACAAATCCTATTGGGGTGGACTTTAATGCACTTCCGGTGGAAGGACCGATACAGGGCATCACAGCTGAAGAGCTTACGGATGCGATGAAAGCAATTTAAATTTATCAACAATCTTCTCTTACCTCACTTTATCAACTTCTACACATTAACCAACTCCATCCAATTTACAATTGGTGCCTCATGTATCAATAACGACAAAAATGAGATGGTTCTTGAACAATAAGAGATCAAGCTACAGTGGAGAGAATACTTCAACCGTCTATTAAATTAAACAAATCCAATCAATGTAAACTTTGACGCTCCACCAATCAAAGGTCCGATTCAAGACATCGATGTAGAGAAGCTTACAGAAGCTCTGAAAGCTATAGGGCTCTCTGGACACACAAATGACATTATCAAAGCATCTGGTAATGCAGCTATCCAAACGTTACTGCAACTTTGCCGTGAATTGTGGAGAAATTGCTCAATGCCGACTGAATGGAACTATAGCATGACAGTTCCGCTATACAAAGGCAAAGGTGATCCATTGAATTGTTTATCATATCGAGGTATACGTCTGTTAGAACACTCCCTGAAAATTGTCGAAAAAATCATGAGAGAAATATTAACGTCGTGCATCACAATCGGAAATTATCAATTTGGTTTCCTAGCGATTGATGCAATTCACATCATTCGGCAACTACAAGAGAAGTACCTCGCAAAGCATCAACAACTATCACACATTTTTGTCGACCTTGAAAAAGCATTTGATCGAGTTCCCCGTGAAGCAATCAGGTGGAGTCTACGTCGACAACTCATTCCAGAATATCTCGTTCAACTTGTGATAGAAATGTATACGAATACTAAGACTCTCGTCAGCACAACGGTCGGAAACACAGATGCATTTGATATCGGCGTTGGAGTTCACGAAGGCTCGATTTTCAGTCCACTGTTATTTATAACTGTGATGGAAGAAATCACAAAACCGATACGCACTGGTGACATTTGGAATCTAGTATATGCTGATGATATCGTTTTAACAGCCACGTCTGAGCAGAATGCAGCACAGATGTTTGAAGATTGGAACACCAGACTCGCCGATCATGGATTCAAAGTCAACATCAGCAAAACCAAAGCAATGAACACTGGTGAACCCATCCAATTCACGGCTACTGAACGATGGCCCTGTTCAGTTTGTAAAGCTGATGTAAGTAACAATTCTATCAAGTGTCAGCAGTGTAACCAATGGTGTCACAAACGTTGTTCAAAAATAATTGGTAATTTATATGATGGCAAAGAAAACAACGCCCTACCTCGGGGGAACTGGGTCTCTGGACGCTAAACGATGATGATTGATTATTTGTTTATATATCTATTGAACGAACATTTATATATTTATATGTTTATATATGTATAGCATGAACATTTATTTATTTATCTTCAAATATCTTTTTGCCTCAGTCTTATTCGGTCTCCGCATATTCAACATCTTAACTTTTATTCCCTTATTTGATATGTTGTTGTTTATGAATAAACTTTGAAAACGAAAATGAATGAATGAATATATATGTATATATATATATATAAATATATATATATATATATATATATATACAAATATATATATATAAATTTATTTATTTATTTTATTTTATTTATTTATAACAAATTTATTTTATAAAAAATAATATATCTAATGGCAATAGCCCGTGCTTTGTTCAAATAAATAAATCATTTATAAAAGTATTCACGCTAAATTAAATTCGATTAAAATTTCAAATTCAAAAAAGATCATTTAAAATATTATCTTCATACACAATTTTTAATTATTTTAAATAAATTGAAGGCATATATCGAATAAATTAAATTTTATTTGCGTCGTTAAGTTCAAAAACAACCGTAATTATTTGCAGAATTTTTCTTGGCCCAATGCAGTTTGCATTATAAATGATGCTTATTGAACATGATCCAAGCAATGACGAATTAACATCACAGGAAACAACACCTGAATGCAGATATGTAGTAATGTTAAGCAATTTTAATTTTTTGTCAATGTCTCATTTATCTGTCCGTAGTAAATGGTTTATCAGTAGTATATTAATTTCAACAAAATGTATAAACATATTGAAAAAAAATTGAAAGCTAATCTATTATTAACAGTCATTTATGCAAAATATATTTATCTAGACAGAAATGTAAAAAATTGTATTAAATCTTGAAGATTTTTTTTTTATTTAGGATTAATAATGGAATAATAATTAATATTATCATTATTTGTTTTCTTTTTCTTCTTTACACAGGTTTATTCACGAGAAATAATAAAAAAAAACTACATGAATTAGAATTTAGAATTTAGTGTAATTTAGAACAAATATAAAAATAACTTGATAAGCAAAAACACAATAAATCAACTAAACTCTAACAAAAAACAGCAAATGTAGTAAAAATATTTAAAAAATGTAAATAAAGTTTTACTGTAAAATGTTTAAAATGTTATGATAATTAATGAGGATAAATAAAAACTACAGATATCTGCATACATACAAAAAGATGCATCATGCATGCACACGATAAGCAGCATGACTGCCATCAGACCTGATCACTAGAACGCAAGAGGCATCATGCATGCACATGATAAGCAGCATGACTGCCATCAGACCTGATCACCAGAACGAAAAAGGCATGGACTTTTTACTCTACTGCTACTTACGACATCCCGCAGTTTAAAAACAAAATTTTCTGATGTTTGAATTAAATTAAAAATCAAATAATCCAGACTCGGCAGAGTAATAGTATCATTTTTATATCATATTAAATTTTTTGTCATATTTCTTGAAATGTTAAAACAAAAGATAAAAAACAGAGCAACAAACTTATATTTCTTTTGCAATTTAAAAATCAATTATGAAATTTAAAAATTTAAGGTTTTAATTTTTCTAACAAGATAAAAAATTATGGTAATTTAAAGTTTGGCAACACAAAAAAATTTTTTTATCAAATCATAAAAATTATATAGCAAGATAACCAACCTGATGTCAAAATCAACTTATCTCGTAGTTCACTGGCTTCTTTTACATCAACAAGACCATCAATCTGTGAAAGTCATTAAAAACGTTTTCATTGCAATCACTATCACTAATATCTAAAATTTACAAATATACGCCTTCCCATATTTTCAAGAAAAATGTCATATCAAATATTTAAAAAATTATGACATAATGACAAATTATTAATTTAGTTTTTAACTTGAAAAAAAATTTTGTTGATTCCCCAACAACCCTCATCAACAACTTGGGCTTCAAATCCAATATTTTCTATATGCTTTGTTATTTCATTGGGAGATATAAGATCAGCATTGTAAACAACTTCTGCTGTTTGGCCCAACAATGAAACCAAGATACTACAAACACCTGCAACAAACATTTACATGTTAACATCAGGTATTTTATCGACAAAAGATAAGCTATCAATGTTAGGCTACTTTCACGAATTTTATTTGAAATTAACTTTTAATTATAATAAAAAAAACATTAAAACAATCTTTTTCAATTGTCTATTAGACACTTTTGTCTGCTATGAAAAAACGTACAAATCACCAACTATGTAACTGATTTTTCAATGCAAAATTATGTATGATAGAAGGCTAAAATGGGAAAAACCACCGAAAATCACAAAAAACCACCGATGACAGGTAGAAAGAACTGCGGATAGGAACGTAGGAGCATGGCACAATATCTGAGAAGCAAATTGTTAGAACGAACAGAGGTCAGATTAAAATTAAAATGACAGTAAATTGTTCAAAAGGGTCAGGTAATATTAAAAACAAAAACTTTGCACCATTATCTTTCATAAAATTCAAACGATTTACCAGATTTAGCATTTATACATTCAAATCACAGAAAAAAAAGACTTGAGTTATACAAATTTTATATATAAACTGAATCAGTACTGGGTTATACAAATTCTCTATATATACTGCAACAAGTGCTGAAGATATTTGAAAAATCAAAATAGGTCTTATACACTCGAGAATGAATTGGAAAACAGTATATTATTATAACTTTAATAAAATAAATAATGACGACAAGAATTTTGGTTAGAAATATTGAGAAATGTAATAAAAAACTATCGGTAGATTTCAAAAATTATTGCATTAATTTATATATATATATATGTATGTATATATATGTATATATATATATATACATATATTTTTACAATATTCTATAAATTCTACCGAATGTTTGGCGTTAATATGTTTGTAGTTCGTTTAAAAATTATGGTCTATTACCAACATATACATATATATATGTATATGTATAAATATGAACTCAAACAATACCGCCTCGTTGAATGTCTTATAAAGAAGTTAATTAATGCAAAATGGGCAAACAATTTCAATGAAATTTGCATTTCTGAAAACCTCGTTCCTAAATATATATATATATATATATATATACATATATATATATATATATATATATATATATATATATATATATATATATATATATATATATATATATATATGTTGGTAATAGACCATAATTTTACAATATTCTATAAATTCTACCGAATGTTTGGCGTTAATATGTTTGTAGTTCGTTTTACCAATTTTTCTCACTAAAGTTTTTTGGTGAACGTTGAGTTTATAAAATAATAATAATAAAATAATAATAATAAAAAAATAAACTTATTTTCCGAATTCATGCTGCAAATAAGGCCATATTTCGATTCCGAATGATTCATCATCAGTGCTTTCTGTTGTTTATATAGGGAAATATTGACTTAGTCAAAATGAACTCAGATGGAGATTGACTTTGTCAAAGTGGACTTAGATGGAAATTAGGTGTCAGGTTTCTTTATTGGCTGGTCATTTTCTTTGGTCTCCTTTTCTTCATCGATAGCATCATATTTTTCTTTGTCACTATTTACAATGCTAGTTTTTATTACTTCTTTGTTTTCGTTGTTGGTTAAGCGCCTGGTTGGAAGTGAGGTTGTCATTTTTTGTTGTATATTTATTTTTGGTTTATTGATGTCAATTAGGACTGCTTCTGCAATTTTAAGATGCGTGTAGTTGCTGTTCTGGTATATTACTTTGGTGTTACTGTCGAGGATTTCACGGCTAATAGTGATTGAGTGTGTTGAGTCCAAATGAGATTTGATAGCACCACTCTGTTTATGCATCGTAAGCCTTCTAGTCAATGAGGTAGTAGTAATCCCGATATATGACTCCTGTTTACGTGCACAGCCGTCAAAGGGGCAATTAAATTCATATATTACGTGATTACGCCTTAGCACAGAGTTATCTCTAGGACTACAGTTGCTTTTCAGTATTAGGTGAGACGTCTTTTTATTGTTGTAATATATTCGGTGTTTAACTTTATTAATTGGGTTGGTTGGTGTGACATTTTTGTTGATGATATGTTTAAGAATAAGTCAATCTCCATCTGAGTTCATCAGCATGAATTCGGAAAATAAGTTTATTTTGAATTTTAATAAACTAAACGTTCACCAAAAAACTTTAGTGAGAAAAATTGAAAAAACGAACTAAAAACATATTAACGCCAAACCTTCGGTAGAATTTATAGAATATTGTAAAAAATATATACATATATATATATATATATATATATTAAAATTTGTAAATATCTTAATTTTGCTTAATTTATCAATGAAATAGATAAAATAGTTTTAATTATCTGTAAAAAAAATTTTAAACAGACGAACTGATAAGTAATCTTAAATTTGTCTTCGGACGCGTGGCATAAATAAATAGACATCTCGGAATTTAAATTTATTTTTCTCATTGACCTATATTAAAAATTAGACATTAATTATTTTGTAATATTTAAAATGGTTAATAAGTGTTGCGCACCCGGTTGTAAAACTGGTTATAAGTGCCAAATTAAAACAGATTAAATTGCCGTTGAATGCAGAATTCTGTTATGAAAATGGATTCCTTTTTATCTCTGAAAGATTTCCATCCGACCAAAAATAACCTACCAGCGAATTGCATTTTCAAGATGAAGATATACAATTAGAAGGAGTAGAAACCAATAAGACTAGGTGTAATTAAACCAAATCTGTTGAATTGAACAGGGTACGCCTGAAACCTTACGCTGTTCTTTGCAAACTACTAACTACTAAAAATTGTCCAGCTTATCTGAGCAATCCATGGATACCTCACGAATCCAGCTGTTGCCTCTGCTGCATCAAGGGTGGTTTTAGTTAATGAACGAAATGCTGTTGCTGAGGGTCTTGTAAAAGAAAGAGAAAAAAATAACATGTTTTACTGATTTTGCCGACAAAATTCTTGAAATTTTTATTCCTGAGGGTTATGAGAGTATTAAAAAAAGCAATCATATTTCATTCTTACTTATTAGTAGTTATGATAATAATATAAAAGAACCTTTTAACATAACTTGTTCAATTACCGTGTCCACAGGTTTAACAGTTAATGCTTATAAATATGTTGGACAGACTGCCATCAAAATAAGCTTATCAAAATATAACAATTTTTTATCAAATGAAAACAATATTAACTGCACTACAAATATTTCCAATCTGCTGGCTTTTGTGAAGAACATTAATTATGAAGATGAACTTTTTAAAAAAGAAGTTTCTTCCATTGTGAACAACATAAATGGAATTAATTATAGAAAAGGTTGAGTCACTATGCACCATTGTTGAAATTTGTAAAGGCTCATGGACATCAAAATGCGCACCTCATAGTTCGCCATTTATTTAATTGTGTAAAAATCTAATTAAGCGAGAAAACCAAGTTAACCGTACTTCAATATCATCACTTACATCGCGTAAAATCAGAAAGGTTCAGAGTGAGAGCTCATAGTAAAAAATCATTTGTATGTATCAATATAATTATGATTGTGATGATGTGCTCGTGAATGTGTGCGTTTTAGTCTATTTTTTCATATGTTTTGATTAATAAAAAAAGATATGCAAAAAACTGAGTTTGGTCTAACTTGAATAAATTGTTATAACACTCCATTAGTAGTTTACCAAGGCTCGATTCTCAGTCCACTGTTATTTATAACTGTGATGGAAGAAATCACAAAACCGATACGCACTGGTGACATTTGGAATCTAGTATATGCTGATGATATCGTTTTAACAGCCACGTCTGAGCAGAATGCAGCACAGATGTTTCAAGATTGGAACACCAGACTCGCCGAACATGGTTTCAAAGTCAACATCAGCAAAACCAAAGCAATGAACACTGGTGAACCCATCCAATCCACAGCTACTGGACGATGGCCCTGTTCAGTTTGTAAAGCCAGTGTAGGTAACAATTCAATCAAGCAAGTGTCAGCAGTGTAGCCAGTGGTGTCACAAACGTTGTTCAAAAATAATTGGTATTTTTATCTAAAGTGTCCAATTTTGTTTGTCCTGCTTGCATCAATCCACAACAACAAATTCGAAATAGCACTGTTTTTGAAGCCATTAAAATAGAGCAAGTCACATCGTTTCAATATCTATGGGATGTTCTGGATTGTACTGGAACAGCTAAAGCAGCCGTTCGAGCACGCATACATGCAGCCTGGAATAAATGGCATCTCTTTGCCTCTATATTGATGCGGCGTGACATCCAACTACCACTACGATCAAGACTTTATAAATCTGTGATACGTCCGGTGTTGTTATATGGTGCAGAAACATGGCCAATGACAACCAAACTGGAACAACAACTTCACCGAACCGATATGAAAATGCTCCGATGGATGCAACGAATTAGTCTGAAGGACCACATCAAATCTACTGAAATCCTGCGTCGTGCTGGTCTAAATGATATAAAGGACGAATGCCGGCAACACCGTCTGCGGTGGTTTGCTCATGTCAAACAATGTGGAAACAGTGCCATAACTTCTTTTGAAGATGTTGAAGTACCTAGCACACGTATCGAAGGCCGTCCAAAGAAATCCTGGTCGCAAACAATCGAGCAAGACATGAAAGCTCTAAATTTAAATGAAATGGATACAACTGATCTTCTAATTTGGCGCAAAAAATTGATGGCAAAGAAAACAACGTCCTATCTCGGAGGAACAGGGCCTCTGGACGCTAAACGAAAATTGATTGATTGATTGATTGATTGATTGATTGATTGATTGATTGATTGATTGATTGATTGATTGATTGATTGATTGATTGATTGATTGATTGATTGATTGATTGATTTAATGAAAAGCAGATATTATAAATATTTGAAGTTTAGAGCCAAAGAATACCGCGGAATTTTAAAAATTAACGATGACATAATCAATCAACAGCAATAAAAACTTCTAGCATTAGGACAAACATCAATCATACTTTTAGGAAAAAAATAATTAAAAAAATGAGATGCTGAGCAGGAATATTTGCTATTATGGAGCCATAAAATGTCAAAATGTTTAACATATCACTCTAAATAGTACGTTTATTAGTATAGTTTTTATCATAAATATCAACTTAAAATTTTGCTGACACATTAAGAAAACTGTTTTTAAATTAACTGATTAACAGCAAAATAAAATCTATTTTAGCAAGCAGATAAAAAAAATATGGAACTCGGTTAACTTATATGGAAAAATTTCACTAACCAAACTGTTTGGAAACATGATTTTCAATGTGAGCAACGCATGAACCACAAGTCATTCCAAAAATTTGTAGGTAGCACTTTGATGAAGATGCTGACGACATATTTACTCTTGTTTCAATTTTTTGGTTTCCTCTGACAGTATTTGTGCTATCAATTTTATTATCAAATATTTTCTCACTTGAATTAGTAAAAATTTCTTTGGAAATTAATAAGCGAGCATCAAACCCCATATCATTCACTTTATTGACAAGATCATTTTCGCTTACTGCAGAAATATCATACTGCACTAATGCTATCTCGAATGTTAAAAAAACTGAAACATTAATGACACCATTTATTTCGCCTATAACATCCTCTATCAATTTTACGCAAGAACAACATGTCATGCCCTCAATAGACATCAAGGTGTATTTATAACTGTCGTTCATAATTCTTATTTCACAGTCATTTATTTCAAATTCCTTCACAATTTCATCAAAGTTAGTCGATTTCAATTTAATTTGAATCATTATCACCATTTTATGAAATAAATAAACATTTTCTAAATGAAATAAACGTTCAAAGTTCGGCGAAAGAAGTCTGCGAATGTCTTTTTCAAAATCGAACTCGGCACCTTCATCCTTCAGTTTCATGACTTGTAGGATCACTCTATTTTCCATCCTCTACAAAAAATATATGTAAAAAGGTATTTAAAAATTTATATTTTTTATTATAACTCAATTAAATATTTAATTTATCAATTTTATTAAAATATATCAGCATCGACATTCATAAAAATGTTAACCAAAATCAATTAATAAATTTTGAAAAAACGTTTGCCGTTCGGAAAAACGCAACCAAATCCATCTACCAAACATTACTTCAAATTGTATAGCTGACCCCAGAAAGTTGACTGCATTAACAAACAAGTTGAAAGGTTACAGGGCACGTTGCTAAAATTGAAATACCAGGCAATCTACGTTTTATAAGGCTCTATGTAAGCTTGCTTAAAGCTGCTAAGTTTTCTTTGTTTATTTCCGCAATGATCTTTCGTAGTCGCATAGTGTTATTCTAATAACTTTTATGAGCGTTTACATAGCGCTTTTTAAATCAAATTCTCAAGATCGTTTACGAAGCCAATAACTTGATAAACTTCAAAGCTATCCTCTTCCTTCTCAGACGGTTGATATCTAACATCACCAGAATTGCTGTTACTGCCAAATTTCTATTTTCTGACGCAGATGAACTGCGACCAGGAAAATTCACTAACGACCAAATTGTAAAATTTGGTCGTTAGTGAATTGACGAAAGACGAAATGATGTCGACGTCTGATTTTCATCATCATTCACATTCATATTTTTTGCAAAGTAAGTCTCGATGTTATTAATTTCCAAAAAATCGATGTCAGATGCATCACATTCATAAATGTAACCAATGTAACAAAACTTCTATACCTTATTTTTGTATGCCGATATTTTAAAATCGTATTGGGAAAGTGACCATGATCATACGACGACTTTTGTTGATGTAATATTAACAACAGTGCTGAGAGAATTTTCATTCACATGTTTTCTGCGAGGAACATTTATGATGAATTCATCTGTTTCTATTTTATTTATCATTTCTGAAACGTTCATTAGGGTTTGGTTGATCGTATTTTACGACATAGCAAGTCGGCTTCTTGCAAATTTTTATATTTTTTGGCATATCCGGAATTTGTTTATTTTCAGGTATATCCAGAATTGCTAAACAACCATTTAACACGTTCACTAATGCATTCTTCATCAAAATCTCGCAAATTAGACCCCATAAAGTATAAAAGTTTATAAATCACAATTTTTCAGCGATTTTAATCTTATAAATATATTATATAATTGTTAACGAAATATTAAAAAATTGAACCAGAAACTGATCTAAGCTGAAAACGCAGCGATATTTCTTAACAACTGTATCCACGACAGTCTTAACCCTAATTTTAAAAATATTATAAATAAATAAATATATATATATATATATATACATACATATATATATAAATATTGGATTGAGACCAGCTGGTATGCAGTTATTTAAAAATATCACAACATTACAATCATTGTTCCATCTGCAATTAAATTTTTCAATTTTTCGTACTACGAGTTTCTGTCCATTATCAATTTTGTTCAATTCATAAACAAAATTTGTATTCATTTTTTGCATTTTCGTTTAAATATATATATACGCCCTAAAAAAAAGCTTATGAGCGGCCTGATGGCCTAGTGGTTAAGGTCGCCGCAGTAACCGATGTCAGGGATATCGCTATTGAAGATTAAGAGTAGTGACTCGCTATTAAACATTGAGAGTAGTGACTGAACAAATGCGCTTTAGCGATATGTATAGATATGGATACGATATACAGGCATGCGGCGCGAGTGTGGAATAGAGTTGAATCGAAGTTTTAAGTGAATGAACGTTAATAAATCGTAGTTTCTGAACGTTATTAATTGTAATTGTAATTTTGAACGTTATTAAATCGTAGTTTCTGAACGTTATTAAACTGTAATTTCTGAACGTTATTAATTGTAATTTTGAACGTTATTAAATCGTAGTTTCTGAACGTTATTAAACTGTAATTTCTGAACGTTATTACTTGTAATTTTGAACGTTATTAAATCGTAGTATCTGAACGTTATTAAACTGTAATTTCTGAACGTTATTAATTGTAATTTTGAACGTTATTAAATCGTAGTTTCTGAACGTTATTAAACTGTAATTTCTGAACGTTATTAATTGCAATTTTGAACGTTATTAAATCGTAGTTTCTGAACGTTATCAATTTTAATTTTGAACGTTATTAAATTGTAATTTCTGATCGTTATTAATTGTAATTTTGAACGTTATTAATCGTAGTTTCGAACGTTAATTATTGTAGTTTTGTACGGATTTGAAAGGCAGTTTTGAACGTTGTTGAATCGATTTTGAACGAAATGAACATAAATTGACATTATATATTCACATTTATGAATTAAGTATAAGTTATGAATTGATGATTTCTGTTAATTTATCATAATAAATTATGTTTCGAAAATAATCAGTTTGTTTTGTTTTGTATTGAATTAGAAAGAACCTGACAACCGGGTTCAAATATGACAAAAAGATTCCCGCCTATCGCATACTTCGTGTGTGATGCGTCGTTTAGCATGTATTCATATACGATGTTTGTGGCGTATTGTTGAATCCTCTGAACTTTGGAGATGTGTAATTGACCTTTAACCTTAATTGACTTTATTTTTCGACAATCATTTGTCATCATTAGTGTTGAAGAAGAATTTATTAATGTGTCTGTTTATATAAGTTTTGAGTGACTTTGTTACTGTGTGTTTTCACTAAGAGACTTTGTTCGGCTTCTGACATTGTTACTAAGTGTCTTCACTAAATGACTTTGTTCGGCTTCTAACTTTATTGCTGGATGAGCAAGGATTCTGCAACCCTTAGATTGTGCGGATTGTTATTGTATTGAGTTATTTCAACGTTATTGTCAAACATCTCTCTGGCGAATTTTGTGTTAAGTTTCTTTCAGGTGAATCTTATTTCTCACGACTGTACATGCATGGTAAGCCTTCTTGATAATTTGGTCTTTGCCATCCCGATTTATTCAGAGTTATGATGTCCACACTCACCAGATTTGCATTTATATGAATATTGTAAGTGTGATAATTGATCTGATTTCTGACCAGTCTGAGACTGCTGCTATTGCACTTCTACTTATATGAATGACAACTTTTTTTACTATAATTTTATTTAAATTTTAAAGTTAAAAATAAGTAAATTAATTATCAGTGCTCAAGATTAGTGAAATAATTGTGGTTAATGACTGCTGGCTAGAAGCCAATTTGGCTGATCAACTATTTTCTAGAATTTTTTCTAACGGTTAAAAACTAAAAATTTGTTGGAAAGCTACACTCATTGATGAAATATGGAAGGCACTCTTTAAAATGGACTAAATATTTTAATGGTAGGCAGCCGAGAAATTTTATTCTAGAAGATGGCGTACTCTCCTATTACTAATCACAGGATGACATCAACAACAGTTGCAAGGGTTCCATTAAAGTTGCAGCCTGTGATATCAATGCCCACAGTTCGGATCCTACTCGACTTGATAATGTTGTCCCTGGCGAGGCACATTATCATTTGAAGGCGGCCACGCCGCATGACAGACAGTTGTGGCTGTTGTGTTAGGAACTTGTAAGGCATGCAACAACAATGCTGGTTTTCTATGGCAATCAAGCTAAAAATGATGCTGAAATTTCATCATATAATAAGTTAAAACTAAAGAAATCTGAATTACTCACCTATTATGATATTCTAACTCAGCACACTTACAACAAATTGGCGACTCCTACGTGATCAAAAAAACAAGCAACGAGAGTTCCCACTTCAACGCGAATCTTTCTTCGATACAACAACACAGGATTGATCCTGGCAATTCAACCTCTTCCATCACGTTCGCCAACACACACGCGACGATCTGGTGGGAAGTATTGTTGGATTGAAATCCTAACAAGCTAACGAGGTGACTTGTACGGACTATATAAGAAACTGCGATAACTATTCTGATAGGTATTCGGGCTGCTGATGAGTCCCGGGTAGGGTGTCCAGCCTATCCAAGCGAATACTATTCTTTTCTTCTCCCGCTTACTGCTCTTCCGGGTTCGGTGTTCTCTTACATAAGCGCAACCGCAACAATATACTAAGTGACTGCCTCAATGGTGTCTCCGAACTCACTGTTTTCGATGAAACCAATTGCTCGCATATCGATTTAGAGCTGTTGGTGATTCACATTTGGAAAAGCGTTTTTGTTTGTCTGTGGTCTGCCAGAGCCACACAGTTTACATTGAGGATCACTGATGCGTTTCCGTTGTGTCAAATTTTCTGCATTAAAATGTCGTTGTTGAAAAATTTGTTTGGCGAATTTGAAGATTGATTCTGGTAAATATTCAATCATACGAGACAACGAAGAATATTTGAGTTTGATATATGATCCACAACATTTTATGATTGTATGCAAACGGGATCCGGATTCAGATTCGTCCGTATTCATCAACAAGACTCGGATCCAGATCCAGATACCAAGGATCTCGATTTTTACATAAAAAATTAAAACCAAATAAGTTTATTAAATCAGCAGTAATAGCATTCAACCATGTTTCGGTGTCAGCTACTAAATCGAATCTGCCATCATAAGAATCAATAAAAATATTTATTTCAGTTAACTTATTAAGTAAACTCTGACTGTTGACATGAATAAAACAAAAGTTAAATATAAATGCACCAACATTCATGAGCAACATTAAGGAACAATCAAGAGAAAAATCATTATGAATATTGATATCAGGATTGACATCTTCAAGCTGATCAACTTTATAATACAATGACAGGTTTAAATCAAAAGTGTTTGAGAATATATCAGGGTCAAATGCTGCTAATCCAATGTTGTCATCTATTTGTACTTTTGGTCGTTTCCCTTGTTGCGTTTTTAAAAATCCATTCATAAATGAAAGTGCTTTTGTTCCAGAGTTCTTTGTTCAACAGTTTGGACACGCCTATTTCTGGTAAAATTATCTGGAAGGCTGTTGACTTGGTTTGTTTCTCTACATCTGCTATTGTTACTTCTGGTAACTGATTAATCTTTTTTGTGATGTCTAAACAATGGGAAAATATTTTTAATTTTTATTCCATTTTCTGTAAAATGGTTTTCAACAGTTTTTTACCACAAACGGCAATATTGCCCAAATAGAAAACCTTTTTTTGTTTTTTATCTAATTGTTTTGAGGCTTAATAATAGGAATAGGACGGACGCAAGAATGGTGGTGGTATTGAAAGAGTGGAAAAGCTTTGTTTATTTAGGGGTTAAGCTGAACGCGGATGGAGGATGTTTGAGCGCTGTTACGGCAAGAGTTCGTGTGGGATGGATGAAATTTAGGGAACTACGTGGGGTATTGTGTAGAAAGAAATGGTCAGTGAAGATGAAAGGCAGGGTATATAAAACATGTGTGAGAGCAGCGATGGTATATGGTGGTGAAACTTGGGTGTTGAGGAGAGAGGAAGAAAATGTACTGCAGAGGGCTGAAAGAGCTATGGTGAGGATGATGTGTGGGGTTAAAGTGAAGGATAGGAGGAATAGTACAGAGCTGATGTCGATGATGGGACTGAATGAAGACATTGTGACATTGATAAGGAGATCGAGATTGCGGTGGTATAGACATGTGTTAAGAAGGGATGAAAGGGTCGGGATTAGGCGAGCGTTCGAGTTCGAGGTTGAAGGAGTGATAGGAAGGGGTCGTCCGCGATTGGTATGGAAAGAGCAGGTGGAGAAGGACATAGTGAAAGCGGGGTTGCGTGATACTGAGGCGAGTGACAGATGTGAATGGCGTCGAGGGGTATTTCGGTTCCATCATAGGTAGCCAACCGGAACCCCCGATCTCGGGGAAAATGTCGTCTAAACGTGTGTTGTTGTTTGTTGTTTTGAGGTTTTCAACTTGGTTAAATTGGACGACTCAAAGATTTCATTTTTGTTTACAACTGGATCTTTAGTTAACGTTTGAATTGGAAAATGAACACTTTTATTGTGTTTTTTTCCTCTTTCTTGACACTTCAACTAAATTATTTATATTATCCGTTGCAGTATCGTCAGTTTGACTTATTGAAAAATTGTCTGCCCAAGAAGAATTTGTTTTAAATATAGACTTAGAGGTATTACTGTTAGACAAATTAGTAACAGAAGTTTTTGTAAAATCACACAGAGTTGCATCATTCGCACCTATTTTCTTCTTAAGTTTATTTACAATTGAAACCAATTCTGTTTTATGCACGTTGAAGTAATTTTCCATATCTTTCAACTTTCCATTAAACATATTAAAAAGTATTCAATGTTAACCTGAAAAATTTTCTGCAGGTTAACAGCAACATCGGTTTAAACTGTGTATTTAACAAGTTAAAACATTTAACTAGTTCAACCAACTTCAAAAACAATTTATGTTGTCCACATTGTGTAGATTTTATTTTACTTTTTTCTAAAGTTTCTAAATCTAAATTGAAATGCTTTTACCACTTTATTTTTTGTGATTATGGAAATAGACTTGAATTTTTTAAAGTAGTTTATTTCTGTGCGACTACCTATCCATGAACAACACTTGAAATAAAAATTATTCAGACAGCTGATTCAAGAAATTTTTAAAATTTATTTTTAAAACTAAAAGTTCATTGCAAAACAACTAAAGTTCTAAGTTTTAGTCATGCACACCATTCATTCACATTATGATTGTGGTTTTGTGATAATTGTATGTTGTGATTTTGTATAACATTTTTAATTTATAGACAACTTTTTTGTGAATTTTATTATTCTTAATAGTGTGTATTACATTTTCCTGTAAAGTTTGTTTTTACTGCAATTAAAATGATAAGATGCTCATTTCTGCTAGAAATTTTGTTGAAAAAAGTATATTATAATAGTTTAACACAAGTCAGGTGAAGAAGCATAACTTGCTCTAGAATCAAAAGTTGAAACAGTTATTTGCACTTCTGTTTTTTGTTCACTCTGAGTTTTGTACTTTGACCATATTTAGTCCTCGAACATCAACTTTGAAATATATATATATATATCATTGTTTATATATGAAATTTTAAAAAATATTTTGGCTACAAACTGCTAATTAATTTCTTTGAAATAAAAAAAATTGCTTTGCATGTCTCAATAGATTACCAATAAAAATTTTGGTACATGTTTTGTATTCAAACACTTAACTTTTTACTATTTACTAAAGTCACATTTTATATCGTTAATAAAGTAATTTTTAAGTTACATTTTGTAAAATCACATTTTATAGAAATAAAATAAAATGTGAAGACAATAATTATCCCGGTAGGCTAGGGTCCGGATCAATTTTTTTTTTTTAAGTTTTACAGTGCTTGAAAGAAAACATATACCAAAATTATTTCACGTAACAAATCATTTACATATTAAAGCAATTAAAGATTTTAAATTATTTTCATTTAATTGTCATATTCGCTTCTGTTCATTTTGACACAATTTTTTATTTTCACTTTTCACAAAATTTTACACAATTCACAAAACTTTCTCTCATTGTAAGATGTACCTAAAATTTAGTGCTCTTCGTTTACAGGTCACCTGTTTTCATACAAAACTAAGTAACATTAAAAACACAAAATGCCACAATTTTCATTCTTCCTTTTTGTTTGCCATATCCATGTGCAAATTATGTTGCCTGAGCTTGAGCCATCATATAAAATTATAAAATATATGTCACATGTAGTGTAATTAGTTGTAGTTAGTTATTAATTATTAATTACTACTTAGTACTTAGTAGAGTACAAAAGTTTTATTTATAAATAAATTGCTAACTAAAATTAAGAAACAGTTTGCAGCTGATCTGCGCTTCTTATCTAGAACTTCATTTTAATTTTAAAATAATAATAAATTATACATGAATCAAAATTTTAGGATTAGTACGTAGCTTTATTCTTAACTATGTTTTACATGTGTAATTAGTATTGTTATATTTACGAACAAGTTAAGTACACTATCTATTTTCTTAAATATAAATAAATTATAAATCTCACAACGCTAACTAAATTAACACATGACAAGGATAACTTTTAATTTAAAATTTTAACTTTAAACAATTATTACCTTTCTTTGTATTCAATACAAAAAGTTTAATAAATATTTCTTTAGGTCATACAAAAAACGCTTAATTTTAATTCTCAAACGTTAGAGTTAAACAAAAACCACATATGCCTGACATACTAGCGCTATAAATAAAACTGTCAATGACGCTAGCAAGGTATAATAATAATAACAACAATAATAATAATAACAAAGTTTATAGTGGTTCAATAAACTAGCATCTTATCTGTGCAAGAACCACAACAAAATGTCCTAATATCCTAGCTTGATTTTAAAATTGTTTATTGAATTCACCGAGACAATTTCATCGCTCAGCTCGTTCCAGGCGTTTATCATCAAATGAAGAAACAAAACATGCACGGAGCATAATGTAAAAATATATATATCAATCAATCAATGATCCTCCTTTGTCCATCGAGGGACCGTCGAGGCCGATGGTGTACATCTAAGCAGGCTTTTTACTTTTATTTTTTCTTTTTTTCTTTCCAAAAACCTTTTTAATCTTTGGCCAGTTTTATTGAATTCAGAATACCAACGCCAGTCCATTTAGTAATGTCATCTATCCATTTCTTTGCAGGTCTACCAATTTTTTTCTTCCAATCTCTTTTTCTCATTAGTACCATCTAAATTAATCTGTCTTCTCTCATTCTACAAATGTGTCCAAAAAATTCCAATTTTCTTTCTCTGACATTGTCATATACACTTTTCTGTCTTCCAAGTTGATTTCTAATGGCTTCATTCTTTACTTTCTGCCTCCAACTGATTCTCAACAAATTTCGGTAACACTTCATCACACAATGATATCCTTCTCTCTAGTGACAATAGTAATCTTACTATTCTTCTTGCTCTTGACTTTTCCTCAGCTTTTGATACTGTTGACCATACTATTCTCTTGAGACTGCTGCATCTATCTCTTAATATTACTGATTCTTGTCTATCTTGGTTTTCTTCTTATCTCTGTAATCGTTTTTCTTTTGTTGTTCTCAATAATTCTACTTCTAACTTCTCTACTCTTACTTTCGGGGTACCTCAGGGTTCTATCCTTGGCCCTCTTCTATTTATACTCTATACTTCTGAACTACCTCGTATTATTAATAACTTTTCTTTCTCTAATCAACTATATACTGATGATTCTTACATCTATACTTCTTTTCCTCCATCTAATCTCAATAGTGTTCTTCATAATTTATCTCTATGTCTTTCTTCAATTATCGCTTGGTCTGACTCTATGTGTCTTAAACTTTATCCTTCTAAGTTTGAATTAATTTGTTTTAATAAATCTAAACACTCTATTACTATTCCTCCTATTATCTTACCTGATTCTAAAACTCTTGATGTCTCTCATAAGTTTCGTAGTCTAGGTTTTATCTTTGATTCTACTCTGTCTCTCTCTTCTCAGATTAATAGTGTTGCTAGAAGCTCTTACTTTCATCTACATAGAATAAAAAACTTTTGCTTTTTCTTGATGATCCAACTTTTCTCCTTCTTGTTACTTTGTTAGTCTTATCTAGAATTGATTATTGTAACTTGCTCTACTATGGTCTTCCTGACTCTATACTCTATCCTTTTAGTAAAGCTTTTAACTCTGCTGATCGTCTAGTTGCTCGTGCCCCTTTCTTTTCTCATATATCTCCATATCTTGTTCTCTTGCACTGGCTACCTATAAAATATAGAATAATTTTTAAAATTTGCACGTTCATGTATAAGTCTCAATCTAAATTATTTCCTAAGTATTTATCAGATATATTAATTGAACCTAAACGCCCCGGTTTACGATCGTCTTCTTCTCGCTTTTTCTTAACTCGTGTTAAACACTCTTTTGCCAAATCTGCTTTTGCTTTTTCTGGTCCTTTTCTCTGGAACTCTCTACCTATTTCTCTGACTACTTCTCCATCACTTGCAAAGTTCAGAGCGGATCTCAAGACCCATCTGTTTTCAAAATTCATTGAGGAGCGCTGTTGAACATCGCGGAATATATATATATATGGTTTCGCACGAGGTTTTCGTTATAACAAATTTGGTTGAATGTTCTTGCCCATTTTGTATAAATTAATTTCTTTTGGGTTTGTTCAATAAGACGCAATTGTTGTAACTCAATTTTATTAAACTCGTCAAGCATTTCGAACGGCTGACGACGTCGTTTCGACAGTGTATGTCATCATCAGAGCCTACGTTTAAATTATTAAATATGAATTGAATATTTAAAATTGTAAAATCAAGAAGAATAAACGAACCAAATTGGGAAAATATAAGCGTAAAATGATTAAGGAAATTAAATTAAAATTAATGTAAAAAAGTATACGAAATTTGTTGGTTGGAGTTTGTCGATTGTGGAACGATATTCGTATCGTTGTGGTACCGTCACCTGCTTTGGATCTTTTCTAACGGGGAACGTCGGCGTCAAATCACTATATTGGGAGAATAGCTGGAGAGTGTGGTCGAATCTATTGGTTTGTTTGTTCATGGATGGTTTACATTTGTTGATGTGCAGGGCCTCACAGATTTTCAACCTACCCGGGTGGATTTCTGTGCCGAGTATCTTGGTATTCGCATCGAGTATGGCTCGCGTGAGGTTTGTGCGGTGCGCATTAAACATATGGTCCTTAATGCTACCGTCCTGTACATGTAAGGTGAGCCTGCGGGAGAGAGTAGTACGAGTGTGACCAACTAGTAACAAACCAGAATTACTGTAATCTGAAATCAACAAACTTGTAACTTGCCTAAATAACTTTGATAATTGGATGTCAAACAATGGTCTTAGATTAAATCAGCAAAAGTCAAAATTTGTTCCAATAGGTACATGGCAGCAGCTAATGAAACTTAATATCGATTCAGTAAAAATAGGAGATGTTAAAATAGAATTTAGTGACAAAGCAACTAATCTTAGTTTCATTCTTGATTCTAGATTATTGATGCATGATCATATAAAGATGATAACAAATTCATGCTCTGGACAGATTCAAGAACTCTATAAACTCCGTAAGTCATTAGATAAATCTGCTATTCATACCTTGGTGCATGCATTTGTTCATTCACGATTGGACTATTGCAATGGCCTGTTTTACGGTTTGCCAGACAGTTCTATTTCTGCAATTCAATCCATTCAGAATAGAGCAGCCAAATTGATTGTTGGAAGTCTTAATTTTAACCATGTTAATCCAATTCTTAAGGGTTTTCATTGGCTTACTATAAAGAAAAGAATTAAATATAAAATATTAATTTTAATGTATGAAACTGTACATGGCTTGTTACCAAGTTATTTGGTAAATAAAATAAAAGAGAAGCCTATAATGATGAGTGGTTTGAACCTTAGATCAGATGATGGCAATTTACTGGTTGTACCTGATATCAATTTGCAGATAGCATCAAGAGATTTTGCAGTATGTGGACCAATGGTTTATAACAGCTTACCGAGATCTTTTAGAACTAAAGATTTGAAACTTTATGATTTTAAAAAGAAACCTAAAACTTACTTATTTTCGCTTTGATTTTATTGTTAAGTGAATAATTATTTGTTTGTTACTACCGCCATTATTATTATTATTATTATTATTAACGGGGTTTAAAGTGGTTCAGAAGATTATGGTTTGTATAAGAACCATTAACTGTACATTTTTCTTTTTTGACTTTGTTTGACTATAGATAATAGCGCTTTTGAGAACTTTTTGATTTTAATTAGCACTTATAAATGTTTCATTAATAATATATATATGTCATATATATATATATATATATATATATATATATATATATATATATATATATATATATATATATATATATATATATATATATATATATATATATATATGTTGGTAATAGACCATAATTTTTTCAATATTCTATAAATTCTACCGTATGTTTGGCGTTAATATGTTTGTAGTTCGTTTTTTCGATTTTTCTCACTAAAGTTTTTTGGTGAACGTTTAGTTTATTAAAATTCAAAATAAACTTATTTTTCGAATTCATGCTGCAAATAAGGCCATATTTCGATTCCGAATGGATCATCATCAGTGCTTTCTGCTGTTTATATAGGGAAATACTGACTTTGTCAAAATGAATTTAGATGGAGATTGACTTTGTCAAAGTGAATTCAGATGGAAATTAGGTGTCAGGTTTTTTTATTAGGTTGTCATCTTCTTTTGTCTCCTTTTCTTCATCGATAGCATCATATTCTTCTTTATCACTATTTACAATGCTAGTTTTTATTACTTCTTTGTTTTCGTTGTTGGTTAAGCGCCGGGTTGACAACCTCACTTCCAACTATATTATAATATTGTAAATGTTGTCAGGTAGAGAAAGAAAGGCTAAATTATTTGAAAGTGAGAAGTGATTGAGAGTGAATTTTTTATATTATTAATTTATTGGTAATTTTATATGCCTCCATGTTGACTGTGTGAACCGAACCTATTGGCATTACTACAACGACGCATTCACTCAGTTTAACAATGTATATATGTATATATATATATATATATCATTATTATTCGATATATATATACAT